CTTAATGTTCATGGCCTACTTTAGGCCAAATTGACCACATGGAACCATTATTGACTGAGATTAACCCTCGGTAACTAGCCGTTACTGAGCAACTGACCAACATTGTATGTGATTTCTTATCTCTGACCGTGGCTAGCTGCTCTCGAATGTCAAATCGCAGGCAATTACGTTATGAGACCGGAAAAGCGCGGTATGGTAATATTTGGAAAGCATGGAAACTGAATATGCGTCACTGATTGGAACTTTGATTGGTTGGCTTACAATCTTTGACAGGTTAATACAGTAGAAACACTCCATACCTTAGACAAATTCTATTAGCTTGTCAACTTTTCTATCGGATTTAAGCCTGGTTTTCATAAATCGTTATTCGTCGGCGATCATCCCCGATACGGTTTCCTGATGGTCTATGACAGTTTATGATTGTCTGCGATGGCTTACGATATATAAAAACCGGGCCATCGGCAAGCATTCTCGATGGTCATGGCAAATATAAAAAAGTTGACTTTCCCGACGCATCCCGACAAACAACAGCAAAAAGGACGGTAGGTCAAGAATGTAATGTTATAACTTTACATAAGGGAGGCCAGGGAGGCCTACATTTCAAATAGGTCTTCACAGGTGGGCACATAAATAGTTTTCCATTTCCTAGAATAAATATTTGTATTCAGTTATTTTCGTAATTCCTCTATTCAAAAAATTCCTCCTGCGCCAAACACCATCTCTTTCCAAAATATGACATCTACCCAGGGGCGGATCCAGAGCAAATTTGAAGGGTAATTGAAGGCGCTGAAAAATTTTCAAAAAATTGTGACGAGAGTACGCTGTATACAACAATTTTGGATCCATTTTCAGAATATCAACATATCTTTGAGGTAATCCTTGAAGCAAATCAACCTATCGGTCTCAGAAACTTTTTCACCTAATTCTCATTCTTCAAAAGGGGCGCACAATTTCCAAAAAGGGGCGCCAGACTTGCTTCAACTCGTCGAGGGAGGGGCAACTGCCCCTAGTTTCCCCTCTTAAATCCGCCACTGCATCTACTTGCCTTTGTTTTATGTCCTTTTCTTCCATTTATTTCAAAGATCGAGGGTTTATTAGAGGGAAGAATTAAATTGTATTTTACAAAGAGGCCACGAAGGAACATTGGGTTAATCGTTTCATCATCATCAGGTACCATCTTCTATCAGAAGGTTGGCTACCATGATTTTGCCGGGTTCCCAGATTACTCTTGACGGCCCTGGGCCAGTGGTATCGCCAGCTCGACAAAACTGGGGTGGACAAAAACCAAATTTTCTCGGCCACGCCATTAAGACTCTTGGAAAATCCTTTTTTTCATTTTTTACTTATTTTGAAATTTTTTGACAAGCAACTTTCTCAAGCAGCATTTTGCGTAACGTTGGCTTTTTGCCAGTGTGAAAATCGAAATCGATCTGATAAGCCCAACTCCACCACCCCTCCCCCCCCCTCCAATGGATTTCACCGGATCTCGAGAAATTTGAAAATCGACTTCTGGGGAAACTGGGGTGGACATCTTCACCCAAGTCCACCCTGGGCTGGGCCCCCAGTACCTCAGCAAGCATCCCAGTCTCCCAGAATTGATGCAATTCGCTAGGGAGCTGTGATAATTTTTAAACTGTAATATCTATCATTGAATGTAACCCTAAGCGCCGACTTTCAAATGTTTTCACGCCTAATATATATTTATGAAATCAAGATGGCTTGTTGGCAGTTGGCAGAATAACTAACTAAATCCATCGACAAACAATGTTGGTTTCGTCATTATGGTTATTAATAACTGAAAAATCTGGATGCGGGCCAACCTCTAATCATGGTTTCAGGCTTACATAAACGCAGACTGGGCAGGTTCTACAGAGAAATTTTGGCAAAAGATTTTGGCTTACGATGATACTGGATTATTTTTTTGGGGGGAATCAAGAAGCCCTGGAACAGGAAGGGTCGTGTTCCCAATTTATCGATGAGGTCTATTTTCAATGAAAGATTCCTTCTGCAGAAGGGATTTTCACAAGAAATGAAAAGATTGATCGGTAACGATTCTTTTACCAAAAGCAACTGTAGCAAGAAGCAATTATTTTGTGTTCAAGCCACCGCTAAGCCTCCTCTCTGAAAGACCTCCCTCTCGTTAAAGTCTCCATGGTACTGCTTTAACGAGTCATAGCCTATTCCAAAGGCAATAAGCTGTGGGGGCAAACCTTTGTTTTTTTATAAGAAGGACAATAGCCTGTTGTTTAAAACAATAGAAAGTCATAAGGACTGCAGGGGGCAATTGCCCCTAGTTAGTATGTTGGAAAAGGCCCTGTAACTAGTGAATGACAGCCAATGCTAACGTAGGAGGGAGGGGCTACTCCTTTCAATGTTTTCTCAAGTGCGCTTACGATCTTTCGGAAATCCTTCTTTACGTCACCTAGACCTTTGGATTTCAATGAACTTTATTTCAATTCATATTTACGAAATAGCATACAGGGAATTGGAAACATAGATTATGTCATAAACAGGGTCGCCGTTAGGGCTACGCCCTGTTTTAATTCCTGGGAGCAACTTTGCTCTGAAACTGAAGGCATAAGTCGGCTTAATACGTCGTTTTGAAACGTTGATAGCATTTTCATCTTTTTTTAATCTTTTACCAAATAGTTTTCAAAACCTAAACATTAAAACACTAAAGTAGATATTTTCTAGCAACATCGCTTTTAATACTAAAATATATGGGAAGTCATTGTTCCTTGAAAACAAGATTTTGTATGTTAAAGCCATTGTTCCTTGTCATTTTGACGGACCACTTTGCTATGCTTTGCTTTTATCATGCTTTGAATTTGTCTGTTCCAAAAGTAAAATAATACATACTACTAGTGACACGAAATAGAGAAGATGCCAGCGTGATCTTGGGCTGGATGGAATGGATTTCTAAATAGATTCTGATGTCCTTCGACTGATGACTGAAATGTTACACCTTTGGTCAATATTTGCATCTTATTTTAAAAACCATACGGAAAAGACAAGCACCGCTTGCCAGAAAACTGAGAAAAGATGGTGTAATCCAAAACGAGCATTGCCACACAGCCTTGTGCCGAGAGAGATCTGGAATCAAGTTTGTTGCCAAAGTAGTGTGCCCAAATTAAAGCGGCGTGTATCATGATCAGAAATACTACAGTAAACTCCTTATATAGTCACACCAGATGTTGCTTGAAAACTTGTGACTGCACACCGAGTGTGACACTGTAAACAGAGCTATTTGGATTTTAATTTTATTGAATCGTTTTGCATATTTGGGTTTAAATATGATCTGACTGTAACCAGTAGTGTGACTTTAAGCGGTGTGATTATAAGCGGAGTCGACTGTATACTGTTTTAAGCATCTATTTCATTTTTTGTGGATGATATAGAGTAAATTCCTGTATGCTTTCAAGCTTTTGTTGCCAGACGAAAACTTTGTCATTGATAAATCTTTTCCAAAATATTGGACTACGACCCATCGGGACATTGCTTGTATTGCAATATATTGGCATAATTTGGGACGAAGGGCCCCATTGTGCTGCCTCAAGGGAGATTAATAAAATTAATCTCCCCTAGACGGCAAAACTCTTCGTTTTTGGGATGAAACATTGTTTGAAGTTATATTTTTACAGTAGCTCCGCCTTAGCTTGTTCTTATTTTGTTCTTAACTTTTGACCAATTTTGTTTTTGACCAGTTCTTAACTTTATAAAATTGTTCTAATAAAAAAAATGAGCGTAAAAGCAATATCATTATATTTAAAATAAACATCACCATTTATTGCATTTTATATGCAATGGGGGTAGTATCCCCTTAATGATTTTTGATTGCATGGAGGGAAGCTTTGACTCCTTCGTCTTGAGAAGTAGTGATTTTACATCTATTGTAACAAAATCAGTGGGATGCTAGGGTATATATCGAAAGTATGTTGTAAAAAATGGGCGTATGATCTTTGATTTCAGGATGGAGGGTTGTATCACTCATTAAAAAACTTTCTCTTGCTCGTCTCCCAGAAGTTAGGCAAAAACATCTGTGAACTTGTCGATACAATAAGCAAGGACCTAAGTAGGTACAACTTACCTATTATTTTGTGTTACCGGAATCGAGGGGCAGTTCCCCACATTTTTAACTTTTGCCAGGGCAAAATTTTTCTGCAGGGCAAATATTCAGCCACACCCCTCCCAATAAAAATGTATGAAATGACGCCCCTGATTATCGTTGAAAAATGTCATTCAAGGTAAGGCTTATAGGAAACCTTGATTTCAAGTTATGTTGTCACATAATCAATGTAAGTAAATTGTACCAGAAAAATTTTTTTTAAATAATTTTTTTTAAAAATTTTGCCTGGTACAATTTACTTACATTTATTACGTTACCATAGCATCATATTGTACCGCATGCAATCTAGTATATTTATGTTGTCACATAGTACGAAAACATTTAAGCCATTTTAGGACTCGGTTTTTCAAATAAAAAATCTATCTAAATTACCAACATTTTAGACACTTTCAATGAGATTTCTAGGTTTTCTTTCATGGACTTGTGAAACTTTCATATCTTTGATTTTTCGCAAGTATTTTGAGGAATGGCAAACAAAAGCAATTCGCTACGAAGGAGAAGTGAAGCTATTATTCTTTTGATGACGCAATGTTTCCAAAAAAGGTCATCTCGTCATCCGCAAAGTTGCGAAAGGGAAAGTGAGCACAAACGGCCTAAGTTCCTTAATGAGAATACAGAAAGTGGTCGCTACAAGCTACTTTAAAGTTTGATTTCATTTTATCAAATTTCAAGCACAAGTCAAGGTAGAATTTTCACAATATTGGCTTCATTCTTTCTTCAACGAGGGACGCACAACGAGTTAACCCCAAACTTTGTGAAACCATTCGTTTGACGCCTCTTTGTATTCGAAGTAGGTAAACAATAAGGAATGGATAACGACGACAAGCCTTTTGTGTGTCCTGCTCCAGACTGTGGCCAGGTATGTACCTTTTCAGTTTTAACCTCTCAGGTTATGAAATGCCGCTCTTTGCTAAAAATCTGGTATGACGTAGGCCTAAATTAAGTATCCTTTCGAGGCTATAGCTTTCCAAATCCAATTGGTTGACGATTATGTCATCATTCGACTTAGGAGCAGCTTGTTTTAGCATAAATACAGTCTTGCTTCTTTTAGGTGTTCAAATTATTGGATACACGCCTTGTTCACAAATTATGTTTCGCTATGTTTTCAGTTCGCCACATGCACTTTCCCAAGCCAACGTCATTCATTGGTAGCATATTAATATGCTCAAACTAGCCTTTACTATTGTTAATATGTTTTTTCTTATGGCTACAGCAAGAGGTTTTCCCATAACTGAAAATCTTCATTTGTCGTTTTTCCCAGTCATTTACTTTGAGAAAAAATATATAAATGTGTTTAAATGTTAACAAAGTAAATCCATTGAAGCTAGTTTATAGAATAACTGTTTACTCACCAAAATATCATGAACATTTTAATGTTCTTTAAGAGATTTATTTAAAACCAGAAAACTATTCTTGCAAGACCATATGTTAGGGAAAATACTTCATGGAGAAAGTAGATAAAAAGTTGCCTTCTTAAAATGCTGGTCTTTGGAGTATGACACTTTTCAAAGAGATTGAAAAGAGACAATATCAGTTGAAATCATTTGAAATCATCTTCTGGAGAAGGTGTTTGTTATTAATACGAAAAATGCTTTGCAATATCAACTATGGCAGTATGGTATGAGGGTGTGCATTTCTTTGGTGCTAACACTTGGAACAATATATCAGTGAATATATAAAGATCATAATTGTTGTCAGTTTTTGTCAAAAGCTTAAAACCTTTTTTATTTAACAAGAACTATTAAATTAGATCCTAATACAAAAAGTATTATTCTTTCACTCATATAAATAATCAGTTACTTTCCAGACCTACCAAGCCTCAGGCATTTTAGATAAGACACACACATTTATGTCCTTTCTCATGCTCACATGCATCAAAGAAAAATTATTGCACATTTTGCAACAAACTTCTTGGTTTATTTAAAATTTTTCTATTTCAAATCCTAGGAAAATCCCTCTTTCCTAGCAAGACAAGACATGTTAGAGTTTCACTATAGCGGATTGCAATCGCAGTTGGGCGGAGAGGAGTGACTCCTTTTCGATAGGAATATTTGGGGTAGCAGTTACACTCTGATATTCCGCTTGCTCGTATGCCTGCATTCCTTCCTCTGCATTTCTGGTACACAGTGCTGTGGGCTTTTGCAGTGGTTTGTGCAAGTGCACCAGATTTAATTATTTCATGATTATATACTCTTATAAATTCTTCCTCAATAAATGAAATGCTAAATAAAATGGCAAAAAACAAAGCCCCCTAAATCCCCCACCTCCCGAACTAGTGTCATAACTGGAAGTCAAAATGCTAATCAGGGATGAGTTAGGATGACAAAAGGATTATGCAATGTGATAAAGAAAGATCTAGGCATAGAATGGGAGACGTTGAGTCAGCTTGATTTAGATGAGTGAAGCTGTAAGAACAGTGGTGAAGGGAATGTCCTATGGTATGCGATACTGTGAATAACGTAGGGGGATGACATGACGATGGCATGCTTGATGAATTAGAATTAAGTGAGTGTAAAATGGCTCGAGAATGGTCACTCCAACATATTGTGCAGATGAGTCTGCAATGATAATGAAGAAACAATGATAGGGCCTACACCACCGAGCAGGCCGGGGTGGCCGGGGTCCTCCACTTTTTTCGAAGCAAGTAGTTTAAAAGCTGCAATGCAAGGAAAAGAAGTGTAGGCCCCCTACTTTTGCTAGCCTGCCCCCTCCCCACTTTCAAATTCGTAGTGTGGACCCTGATGCCAACAAAATTTCTGTGACAGACAGTGAAACAAACGAGGACTACAGAGTTTTAAATTTAGGTACAAACGATCTGGGGACAAATAATTTAGAATGCATTTAGAAATCAGTTGCATGCATATGCCTGTTTGTTCGAAACCAAAGGCATGTCCTTGGTTTCCTATCATTCTGGCATGACCAATGAGCAGTTTTCTTTTTATCATCAATGTCATAGAATGAGGGACCCCATCCAAAAAGAATTATGAAAATCCTTTGTTCAAATCTAAAAATAGCACAAGGGTACATTTTTATCCTTTTCTGCATATCAGACTGTTTTTTGTTCCAGTGTTTCATGCTATTGTACCAAAGTGGGACTGAGATACGATATTACTGTCGGTAATGGTCTGTGACAAAGTACCTCACTCTAAAAAAAGAACAAGGGGGCAATTTTCATTCAGGGTCCATATCCTATCTTTTTCAGCGTATCAACCTGCCCCTTATTGCAAAGTTCTATGCTATTGTACCAAAATGAGACTGAGACCCCATTTACACTGTCCCAGGACAATTTTGTACCGTTATGGTTCGCAAGTGTTTACTGTCCCGGCTCCAAATTGTTCTGTTTAGCCGTTCCGTTTACACTATACCGGTATGACCTTAATTTAATGGTAGAGCATTGTTTAGAAGAAGCTGTACTTAGTCAACTGAGGCTTTGATTTTGCCACCGAAGTCAACAATCAAATTTCATTGAGAGCTAAAATGGAGCGGAAGGTCGATAAAAACTTAACTTTGACGAACGATGAGGTTGCTTTAATTTTCAGTGTTACTTTAGACAATAAAACTGCAAAGTCCAGTCAAGGCTTGGACTGGGAAACAATACAAGCCTTTTCTGTCATCGTCTTTTCTTCAGAATTTCCTTTTCTTCAGAATTTGACAATGTAATTACGCCACAATTAAAGCCTCAATTACCTGGAACAGCCATGCAAAAGACCTCTTTGTGAATCCGTGACAAAATCGTCTTGGATAGGTGTTTACACTGTCCTGTCAAAAACGGAACGGTGAGGGTACAAAATTTGTTTGCTTTCAAAGCAGGGTCAAAACTGTTCCGGATAGCAAAGCAAAATCGTTTGGGTTCCACAGTGCTAGTGTGAATAGAAGGGCGAACCAAACTTGCACGGGACAGTGTAAACAGGGTCTGAGATACGATAATACTGTTATACTGTCAAGGTCTAAGGCAAGGAACTCCAGTCTAAAAATAGATAAAGGGGGAAAATTTCAGTTGGGGCCTATATCCTATTGTTTTTAGCATATCAGATTGTCGCCTCGACTCATCACTGTGACATCATGGTGGGAAATAAAAATTTCGCAATGCAACTGCAAAATATGCATATTTTGACATTCAATAAGAAAAGAACCATATAACTTATCAGAATTCTGTTTTTTGCATAAGAACAAGGGTGAAGGATTCTAAAGATTTCTTTTAAACTATAGGAATGGTAAATTTCACTGCATAGGCACTTTAATAAGTTTATCTACTTAGAGCATATGCTCATAGGTAAGCTGGATTTCTTGTGCTCACACTTGACATACAAGGTCAGCAAGAGCTAAAACAAGACAAAGAGGAAGATGTTTATGATGATTTTCACAATAAATTAAGCATTTTTTGCACAAATATGTGCTTCAATTTTTGTTTTTCTTTGATTAGTCCTTTTTGTTTCACACATAGCAGCCAAACGTAATTTACTCTAAGCCATCTCTACCAATCAGAGAACACACAATATAAGAAAAACAGAATAGCGCTTTGACTAAACCAAGGTTGGCTCAATGGAAATTAAATCAAATATGACTTTATTTAGGAATTTTTAATACCCAAAGTGCATATATAAATCCCAAATACTTTTTAATGATCAGATTCATACCTTGACCTGATTATGTTTGATTCTTTTTTACAAGATTGATTCTTTATCAAGCTGTAAGTTGTTCCTAAACTTTTTTCACCATTAATTATTTATTTGATATTCAATCTGGTCTTGAATTTGCTAACACTTTTTAAAAATATTATTTTTACAGTTTTAAAGAGTTTTAAACACATCAAAATTCCATCTGATGTTATTCTGCCTTCCCTTTTCCGTATGATGCACTATTTAATTGCGATTATTTGCCTCTTTGTTTCTTGCAGAGATTCACAAATAGTGACCATTTGAGTGTCCACCAACAAAAGCATCAGTTGTCATTAAATATTGGTCTGCGTCAAGGTGAATCTCTGATTGGTAAGTGATTGCTTGAAATTGAGTTTAAGTATAAAACCTTTTTTTCAATTTTGCAATGTGTTGCCCTTATGCAAGGTTAATTAATGTATCAGACTAAATTTTGTAAAAAAAATGTATAGCCAGAAGATCAAAGAGACCTATTCAGGGTTGCCAGATTGAATTTACAAACGAAGGCTAGACTGGTGAGCAATTTGAGCCAAAATGCTCATAAAAAGGCCAAATCAAAAACTCTCTCAAGAATCCATCGAGCAGGCACTGGTTATATTTCTACGCTTGTGCCTGTTAGATAATTTCTTAACTTTGATAAGAATCTTACTTTTTTCCAAAACCCTTTGCTAATATCAAGATAATATTTAGGTTAGGTGATAAAATTTGAAATTTGGTTAACACTTTGTAGTTAACTACTAATTCCATGAATGTAGTAATTACTCATTAATTTTAGACGTTCTGCTGAAAAGGCCAACAAGGTCAAATTTAAGTAGTAAGCAAAAAACAATTTTTCCAGGCAATCTAAATCTAAAAACCAAAAATGAAAAATTTGGCCTAAAAAGCCGATTCTGGAAACCCTGGACCAAATCTGTGAATTATATCATCCAGTCTTCCTGTTTCGTGATGTCGAGCACTTTCATTTCAAATCTGTTTTCAAGGCGCTTGTTTTATCGTCGATATTGATTAGTTCTGGAAAATCCATTTTTAATCACTGTATGAAGGGAGTCTGACTTGGTTTTCCAAATTTTCTTAGTTATGATTAAAGTTCTGGAAAATCCAGCAACTGGCCGGATTTCGGAAACAAATCCGGCCGGAACCGGATTTTCAAAAAATCAGCGATCCGGCGCCGGATTATCCGGCCTACCGGATATCCGGTACATCCCTAATATTGACGGATGGTCTACATGATGAGATATAATCATGCTTAAGTCCAAGCTGAAACTTAATAGATACACCAAAACTTTCATTCATGTGCCCTTTCCAGCTGCAGTTACCAGCTTACCTGGTGTCAGCTCACCAAATGACTAAATTTACTCCCCTAATCATATGCATAAGTTCTTTCATATATGGAATTTTTTTTCTGTTTTCTGCAGACCAATAAGCCTTGAACTTTTTGAGCTGAGAATTCTTTAATCTAATTCTCTTTTTTGCACAAAAATATTGCATTCAGGATAAAGCTTTGTGAAGATTGCCTCTCCCCAGTTGAATATACAGATTATGTTAACTGGGCAAAAAATATTATTGTGTCCCATTTAGCCATTTAGCCAAAAGTTGAAATGACACTAGCCTATGATGTCATAATGGATGATACTTTTTGAACATCATCCAACATCTATATATGAAGTCTGTGAACATTTCTCATGACAAGAGTAGTTGTGTGGACTAACCTTTATAAATCAATTATTTGTAACCCTCTTGGTGAATTATTTTGCCTTACAGATCAAACCCCTACACCAACTAGATTTCTACCAAAAACCACTGAAGAAGGAGGGGAGCTGTTTGAAGGGCTTGCTGAATCCAATCCATTTGACCAGGTAACAAAATTGAATCAAATATATACCAGATTGATGTGAAAATTATGGTATTGCCAGTACTGTCATTCTGTGCTTAATCCTGTATGACAGAGCAGCATACTTTGGTGTATAGAGAAAGATCATTATAGTAACTTAGTGTTTCACACTTGCTGTATTCATCATGTAACTCTTCAAATTATTTTCAATAATTTCAGATAGAACTTTTTCATCTAATTGTTAAAATTATTGAGAAAAGCTAGCCATTTTACAAAGCATGACAAAGGTTTTTAGCATTACTGGGTTCAGAAACAAAAACCAACCTGCAATTCAGCAACATAATTTAGTCTGCTGTGTAATATATTTAGTCTATTAGATACAAAAATGCCATGAATACCAATACGGTAAATCTAAGAATACATTCTTTTAAGATTTCCATTTGAGATTTATAAGCATACTCTAATCATATTTTTATGAATGATATATGTAAAGTATAAGGTTTAGCCAAAGGTTTTCAACAGTGTAATAGGTGGATGATCAAAAGAGCTAAAGTCTATGGAAATTCCCCCAAAAACAATCAAGGAGGGATTTATTCCTGAGCACTGATTAATTAAAGAAATGTGCACCATCTTCACCCTTTTTTTTAACCATGTCTTAGTTTATCCAAAGTAAAAGTTGCACCACTAATATGACAAACATGTGGTTTATGCTAATGTCGTTCGTTTTAGATTTGCATCAATTTAAGAAAACCATTCACATAAAATAGTTAGAGTGCTTACGCAAACTAATACAGCTGTCTGATGTGAATATTAAAGCTAGTACCGTAAATCCTCGAATTGCCCCCCCCCCTCGAATAAGCCCCCACTCTAGAACTACAGATTGTCAATAAGCCTCCCCCCTCGAATAAGCCCCCACTGGTTCCGTAAATTCTCGAATTGGACCCCTCAATTTGATGATTTTTACCATCTGAGGTTGCCTATGGCGTTTTATTGAATTACAACAACGAATTCATACTTTTGGTAGTAACTAATTGAATGCTCGTAAAGAAATTCCTGCAAATAAAGAAGGTCTTTTAATAATGTCTTCTTAATGTCAACGATAATTTTATAAGCCCCTTCCTCGTATAAGCCCTCCCCCCTCGAAGATAATTCGAGGATTTTCGGTATTGTAGATGAAAACGTCTACTACTACACCTAGTTTTTTACTATTTTTCTCAAGGTTATATGCAGTGAAGTAAATTGCCTGTTTACTAAGGTGACGTTTATTTTAGGATTTCAAAAAGGCTGCGTTGTCGCATGTGCCATCAGCACCAACATCAGTACTGTTGCCTGTTATATCTGTATCACCTCCAGAGCCTAGCACCACTGATGTAACAAAAACGACTGCTTCGAATGTCAGGTTTTCCTCAGAAAAGGTAGGTACACTTTTATGCTACACAAAGGATTTTTCTGTTCAGTCTGATTATACAGAATGACTCATGGCTTTTGCCGTCTTCTGTACTTGTTCCTCTTTTTCCTTCAGAATTGGAATAACCACGACGCAGTTGATAAGAAACTGAACCCTTTTTGTCTACACACATCGGTATTGATTTCGTATAGAAAGATTCCAAAAGGCTTTAGTCGATATATGACATTGGTTGCCTTTTTATTCTAAAATTGTCGCCAAAATACATTTGAGTGCACTCAGGATTCTTTAGCAAATGCTAACCAACGGCCAACTCCCATTTATTAAACCATTTTGATTTTTAGAGATATGTCGTGAAGGTGAAATAGATAATTTATTGAAATCCAGATAAGTTGAAATCTCAAAATTGTCAGCTTAGTCATAGAAATATTACAAACTTGCCAGCATAAGCAGTTTGTGTAGTCTAAATTTAAACCATTCTTTTGATGATATGGAATTTTTTCAGCGCAGATTTTCTTTTGATATGATTAAGGAAAGATGTGAAGATTAGATCCCTGACAAAATGATATTGCTTTTGAGAACACACAATCGTAAAGATTTGGTATTACAATGTTCATTTGCAGTTTGTTAGTAAGTGATAGTCGCCCAGAGAGCACCATTAAAATACCAAACCTGACAGATCAATTAATTTGCAGGGAGTCCTAAGAAAGTTATTTTGAAGTATAAGGAAGGGCGGAGTTTTGTCTTCAAAACCCCTTCTTTGCATGTTTTCCAAAGACTAAGACAGCCTCTCTCTATTCATTTCTCAGTTCCTACGTACCACAAATATTTATACTTAGCGGTACCGAACTATAGTACTTCTTTATCTGATTCTTTCACATTATGCTTCTACGAGGATTTTCAATGAAGTCAAGTTTAAAAGAAAGGTGCTTGTTGGAAAACCCGATAAGAGTCGCTTCCTTTGAACAGCACACAAGATCCCTGCTAGTCCTGAGGCTATGTTTTATTGCTTATGTTATTTGTATATCGGTAACAAAGATTTATAACTAAGTTACTGTGGCCTTTCAACGTTAAAAAAGAAATGTCAGCTATAACCAAAGATCAGAACTCATAACGGACTAAGACAGAGTTACTGTAAAAAGCCATTGTAAAAGCTCTTTAGCGCGGGTTATTTTGTGTGTGTAGAAATGTATACTGCGGCATCCAAATAGACGCCGGCTCCTTGCAATCCGGTCCACCAGTCGCCGACCACCGGTACCTGTTAGAACTGAGCATGCTTAACTGTGCTTCTTATAACCCCGTATTACCGCTCGCCATTTTAGTATTGCATTTATTTGCCTTGATTTTTGACTTGTCAAATTATCAAACTGGAACTGCGAAAAATCGTGTTCTGATGTGGTGTCAGTTTGTGTTGCACAAGTTGCATGTTACCGCATTTATGCAGGTTTTTAAGAGGTTGTTAGAATGCTTTGATTAACGGTGCTTTGAAGCCGCAGATACGAGTTGGTTTTCGTAATGCTCCACTGAATACCATTACATCATAGTCTGTCCTTTCAAAATTGGTGATGTAATCCTATGATACGGAATCGTTGCTCTTTGATGTGTCCCTGTAGTTGTTGGCTTCTTCTTCGTCAAATTAGCCAGTTACCCAATATCACCGTATCGTATTTATCCGAGTTGTAGAGATCAAATCAGCAGTGCTTTTGTAAGTATTCTTTTAGGGAATTGATTATGCTAAATATTTTGATCCCTTGACCTGTAGTTTCTTCCGGGTTTACAGAAACAAAGCCGTTAGTCTTGTTTTCATGTTTTCGTCAATTTAGTTTACCATAGTAAGTTAAATATATCTTTTTATTTTACAGTGTATGTGTTTGTTTGCTTATACATGTTTGATTTTGTTAGTTACTCCCGTTCTTGCATACTAAATTTACTGCTTATTGTTATGGGTCATGGCAGTCTGTGGTTTCTTTTCCCAGCAGTGTAAATATCGTTGAAATCACCTTCATGACAAAACCTATGTTGTGAAGATTTCCTATATTGAAATAATATGGATGGCAACTTTAAAGATCGGAGTGTTTACCTTCCAAATTTGAAATACTTTGTATAGATTTGCAATGGTTCCTGAATTATTGTGTCTTTATTTGAAAGAGACTCGATCATAAAATCTTTCTTCAAAACCCCCTCTACATCTCTACGAATAAATGTAATCGTTCTGAAATTGTATTGCGTCAAATTTTGTATATCGTAATCAAAGTTTATTCTTCAAATTGTTGCATTAATTTATGCTTTCTTACGATGATTTAAGATATTTTTGATACTTTTATTACATGTTTGCACCTTTTTTGTTGATATTGAAAAGTATTGGAAGCTGTATTATGTATAAATTTTGTAATTGCAATTTAGTTTTATCTGTTTTCAGCACTTGATAAATGTTTGTCCCATTTTCTATTTGATTTCATTTATTTCAGGAGCTGCTTAAGTCGATCCCACAGACAAATATAAAAATACTTGATGTCCATTCGGGTCAAACTAAGAAGATACAGGAAGGTGGGGCAGGCAATGTGACAATTGTTGTCAACACACAGAAAAGTCTATCAAGAGTGAATCCTGCTTCAATACTCAATAGCAAACGGCCCACAACTGTTCTAATTCAAGGTAAATCATGCATGTGTATTCGTAGGAACGTCTTCTGAGTACTTAATCTATTCATCCGATTTAGAGAATGGCATTTAATAGCCTGGTCTGGATATTGCCGTAATTACTCCAAGATTCTTTGAAAAACTGCAAACACTATCTAAAGCTTTCTGATTTTATCAACATGTTTTTTCTTTATCTGATTTTTTAATTTGTTGTCTTACGGGTGGTGGCCCAAAATAAGCGTTTGTTATACTTTTGCGATCATAAAAATTTTTGCTGCCACTGTAGCATAATGTTACAGCTCTAAAGTATATAGCAGCACATTTTTTCATCTTGCTCCAGTATAGTGATATCTAAACAAATAACCCCTTTATTATTATTATAAGCTCTGTTCTTTATTCTGTCAAATGTAGCGAGCCTTGAATAGTATGAGTTCTTTATTTGTTTATTCTGTCAAACACGGCGAGTCTTACATTGAGAATCAAATGCTTCTCTTATCCAGTGAAGCAGTCGTCGTGTATTCCAGTGAAGAGTTTGTTTCAACTGGTTGTATGATTAGTGTTTTGCTTCTAGGCCAAAGCAACATTCAACCAATCATTATAAATCAGGAATTGCGAGCGTCAGGTGGAGTAATGCCCATGATTGGTATCAAAACTAGCTCTGGGAACGGATCTGGCAGGGCAGCGGTGCCTCATCCTGCGATTGTGATGTCACGCAGCCACCAAAATGGAACTACTGATTTAAAACAGGTAACTAATTCCCTGGCTCTTTTGTGTATAGTGAAACCCAGCAATTACGAGCCCCGCTTATTAGGAACTTATTTTTCGCTATCACGAACTAATTTTCTGGTCCCTCACAATGCATAGGAGGGGCGCTCCACAAAGACCGTTATATTCAGCTTGAAATTTCCCTTTCAAATTGCAACAATTAGATATAAAAATAGACAATCGTGTTATTTTTCCGACAAAATCAGAAGTTTTCCGACAAAATTGAAGATTAGCTTTACCCGTGGGGGGGGGGGGTTCCTCGCCCCCTCAGACCCTCTCTATCTGTGCCACTGATAACGAACCATCGGTGTAATAGCAGGATTCCACTCTTCTTTGTACGACACTGTTTATTTTTAAACTTTTGTTAAACGATTCCTTTAAATTTGCCAGAGATTAAAAGAAGTCATACAACAAAATGCCACCGCTTCATCTAGCAGCCCATCGCCGAAATCAAGGCCATCTCCTAATCATAGTATGCAGCACTCGTCAGCTTCATCGCCAAGCAACTCTGTGAAGTCAGATAACTCTGACATGATGAATGAAGACTTTGACGAGGATATGAAGGGCGTGCCAAGGTAATGTCACCACAGTTAGGTATCTTTCGATTCTTGTGTACGACCTTGCGATTCATGCCTGCTTGCTTGTCACGAGTTTTGCTTGCTTGTCACTAGTTTTGCTTGCAATCGTTGTAACTGATCTTGTCTTCAGTTTTATATGACTGAACTTAAATGCCAGGAGAGCAAATCTCATTGTTTTTCTGTATTTCTAATAGTAAGAGAAGTCGACGAAGTCAAGAAGATTTGGATCCTGATGAAAGAAGACAAAAATTTCTTGAAAGGAATAGGTATTTATTAAATTTGAAATACTTTTATGTTAATTTGTGTTGATATTCTTGTTGTTCTTGTATTTAATATTTTTATTTGTATTTTGCACTTGTATTTGTATCTGTTTCTACCTAGCATCCGAAGGTAGTTTTTAGGACATCGAAAAGCTTACGCTTATCGAGCATATGCTGTTCTGTTAAGTAAATTCATTTGAAGAGAAAAAGATGGAGTTTTCATTTTGACTTTTTAAGATATATTTCATCAACCATAAGATATAATTGTTCGAATTCAAAGGGCTGCTGCCTCAAGATGTCGACAGAAACGAAAGGTTTGGGTCCAGCAACTTGAGAAGAAGGCAGACGACTTATCGTCAACAAATGTTGCTCTCCAGGTGAGAATAGATCTTTAGCATAAACAAAATGACGCTGTGCAAAATAATTGCAAATTATACGTCTGCCATGCTGTAAATTCTTTTCCCGTCTTAGATGACGATTAACAAAGTGATAAGATATACACCTGTATCCAGATGAAATTACAGCCGTTTGCCATGTATTCCAAGATATCAGGACTTTTTGCAGAGTTATGTCTACTAAGCAAGATGTTATTTCTTAAAACACTTTTGGGGTATTTATCTTGTACCCATGCATACCCGCCTGCCAACAATGTTATTACAATTAACTGTTAATATCGACATTTGAGCTCAGATCAACAAAACGAGTTAAGAGCATCAAGTCTATGCTTTTCAGAACGAAATCAGTGTCTTACGAACAGAGGTAGCACAGTTGAAAGCGCTGCTATTGGCCCACAAAGACTGTCCAATCACGATGCAACAGCAGAAAGCTCTTATAAAGCAAACCAACCCAAGTGAGTGTTTCATTTGCACCCATGGTCGTTGTCTTGTTCAGAATGTTAAACAAAAGTTTAGAAACTTTACCAATGTAACTTTGTTCAGTAGGTTGTTCATGTTAGCCCTGAAACAACTTTGCTTTATCCAGAACATCCACCATCCAACAGCCAGTGAAATCGATACTAACCAATGTTTCTGTATCAAATTGTTTGCCGAGTAGTATTCCGCGATCTTGTAATATATATTCGGTTAAGGTGAATGACAACTAGCACATTTGTGTTGAAAACGTCCAAGGGATACGTTTGTTAAAAACGGCCAATGTTGATTATATATGATTTTGTAATTGTATCGTTCGTTAATCTTCACGAGACATATGCAATCATAATGCAATAAGCCCTATGTATTATAATTTATTTTAATGTATACGAAGTCCTATTTTGTTTTAATTTACTTGTATCAGTGATCGATTCTTTGCTAGACTTTGGAGATCAATCAGAAAGTTCAATTGTTGCTGTGACATCACTAAATCAACAGCGTTTCGAAACAGCAGAAGAGGTTGCATCAAGTGCCTTGACGGACATGGCAAACCAGGGACAGTTGGTTGAACCTTGTAAAGGCCGATCTATGACTGGTGTGTCTGTGATCTCCGTTTCTAATTCATCTTCAGTAGACACAGCAGTAATAGCAAACTAATGTAAATATCTTCCCGTTGTCCTATATATAGATCTATATATATAAATGTATTCAAAAGTGTCTAGTGTTTTGTAATTAGTATAACCTTTCTTTCATCTTTTCTCTACCTGTGTTTTTATTGTAGAATCATTAGGGGGCCTTGAGACGGCCAATTTGCTATGATGCCCGACACGTCTTAAGTGAATTTTTTCTTCGTATCTGCTGCGATCTTCTCAGCAATATATAATGTACAAACAGAAGTCGGTAATTAGAAATCGTATAGCGTAAGCTGTCTTTTTAGAACGATTTGAATCCGTAGTAAAGCCATTGGTTCCTTTGGAAGTTTTCCCACGTAATTGAAGAGTTATACTTGTCTAGCCCAAAGATAAATGTAGTAAAATAAGGCAAAGATCTCTAGTAGCACTGTTAATCCATAGTTAACTTTTTGTCCGTGATACTTTTTATCCCATCCTAGCCCCACCTGTAGAGTCAGCCATTTCCCTGCTCCCGTTTTTAAAAATACATCAAAGTTGCACACTTATTGCTGTAAATAGTAACTCCCTATTTTTTGGTTTTGTAGTTTTTCAGAACCTATAATCTCTTGAAATCCCAAGCAATCAATTCCTATATTCTTGCCCACAGCACAGTTTTTTCAATGGTCACCAAAATCTCCCAAATATTTAGTGATATAACATACTCTCAAGCAGCTAATTTTTTAACCTGTCTGTTCTAGTCTATTTTTAAGATATTATTTCTTATTCCATAGCACGACTGTAGAATTTTAATAAGTCATTGTTACCATATTAATTTTTCAAGAAAGTGTTTGTCTATCCTTGCTATATTTTCTGCATTTTTCAGCCAACATATCCATTGCAAACTTTTCAGAACTTGACAAATGCACGAATTTGACTTACGCAGATCAATGCACTGCACTCGAGATTTTAGAAGGATATTCCAGCCCACGGTAAATCTGATATATTGCAGACTTGAAAGCTAACGAAAAGCTTCGAGCTCTGCCTGCTGACAAAGCTGCTCAGTGCGGCTCAAAAGGCCACTAAAAGACATCATAAAATAGATTAAAGAAATAGAAATTTATTTTATTTATATCTGGAGCATGCAACACGCTATAATTAATTCTTTAAACCTTTGCCAATCCTATTATCTAGTTTTCAGTATGAGTTATAAAGATACCGGCGTTTTTACATTTTAATTTGAGAAGATATGCTTACCATATATTTTGTTATGCATACATCTGCCTAAAACGTTCTTATTGCCAAAGAAAGCCAAGAACTGCCCTATTCTACACAACAAAACGTATTTTCAAAAACAGGAGATTAACGTAAAACTACAAACGTTAACATCTTTTTTTGTTACATTGTTTTGAAGATCTAGTGCCTATCGATAGGATTCATCATTCAGATCACTATTAAATAAGAAGATTTGCTGTCATTTCAATCCGATCTGAAGAGATGACGCAAATATCTCCACGTTAAGTATAGTTAGTATCTACTAAAATTATTTGCTTGTTCGCTTATTCGGCTCATTTTAGGTGTTCATTCCAGTTTCATTCAGTCAAGATTTCTGAACTGACTTTGAGATTTCTGAGAGAAAGGCTGACTTTGGTTCTATGATATCTAAAATTCATTTTAAGGTGAAATGATTTCTATTCTTGCGGTGTGCCAAACTAAAAGAAGTTTCATCAGAAAAATTTCATAAATAAAGCAACCCTTTTCAGACTGGCGGAGCGAATCTTGATGTAGTAGGATTAATACTTTTGTTTATCACACTATTGTTGTAATTTCATATGATCCTTGTTATTGTAATTAAGAAGAGGAGCTGTTGAGTAGTTGTTGAATTATAATCTTGTAATGGTGTTTGTGTGTTAATAATATGGTGAAAATGACAAAGTCGAGTTTTCCTTAGAGTGAAACTGAATGAAACAAATAATGCGAATTAAAAAGAAAGCTATTCAGCGCGAGTTTTGTAGCTATTATCAAAATAAAAAGCTTCTGACGAAAATTGGAGGATTAAAGCCCCCACATCCCCCTAGGCACCGCCGCCCTCTGCATTAAGCGTTTTGACATGTTCGTCAAATAAGGGTTGTATCTATGTACAGATTCTTTGCTCCCAGAAGAGGTCTGGGGCAGAAAAAAAAAGCAAGGGCCTAAAAAATGTTTGTTTTGAAATAGAGAGGAACTGAAGTTCGTAAATGTGATGGCCGATATTCTCAAGCTCGGAAAGGAGAAAGCAGCATCTCAAGTCATAGGTGATGTCCAAAAAGGTAGAGGAACTAGACTGCTAGAGTCTATTTTAGATTCTTTGCTGGGAGAACAGTTCGACGAAGACAAATCTGTCTGGTGTTTATGGCTACTAAGTGGTGGCAAGGAACCCTACGAATTCCTCAAGGCATTGAAGAAGCAGAATTCTTCTCCTGTATGTGGGCTTGTATGGAATGAGCAGTTTGTTGCCTATCGGTGTAGAGACTGTGCTATATCACCGTGCATGTCACTATGTGCGGACTGCTTTGTAGCTGGTAACCATGAAGGTCACGACTTCAACATGTTTCGCAGCAAGGCAGGAGGGGCCTGTGATTGTGGTGATGAAAATGTAATGAGAAAGCAGGGGTAAGTTGCATATATTTGAAGCTGGGACTAAGCTATTTTAAAACTTTACGAAATTTATAGTAAGGAAAATTTCAAATAACACAGATAATGGAAGGATGCTACAGAAAAATTTGTTGATGATATCTGAATAACTGACTGCAAATAAAATGTTGGGTGGGTGGGTGACATGATGAAGGTAGGACCTACATCCAATGCCAATGAGTGACACTGCAAATTGTTGATATCAAAATATCTTTGCCCAGTTCTAATTTCAAAACCATGTCACTCACCCACACTCCAGACTGGAAACTTTGTCGTTCACTTGCAATTAATAGCCTGCACACTCAAATTTTCCATCTGCGTGCAATAGCATATTGGCCACGCAAAGTCCCAATTTAATAAAATTTTACATTATTCAGGCCTTGCTCTAAGTAAAATGAAGGTGCTCCATAAAAAGAGCCCCTTAGAAACTCTAGGCGCTCTATTTCGCACCTCTAAGTAAATGTCCTTGAGAGCATCCTTCGAGAGCTTCGGGAGAATGTTAAATATGAAATTCAACGGTGATACCAGAAAGCACCATAATATGAAATAACAAAACATGCAACAAACACTATGTTAATATAAATATAGAAATATAATAGAATAAAGTCGCAAAATTGTTCAGATTTTTCTAGATATGTTAGTTGCCATCATTCGATGAGCTTTTATCAGTGTCAGTATCACTACTGTTATGTTCAGCTTCACATATTGCTTCATCAAAACGCATGGCTTTAAATCGAACATTTAACTTTGTTTCCTCTTTTCATGTTTTCCATTCTATAAGAAACGCTAGAACATCTACTACTCGCAAAAGCAAATGAAAAATGAAAATCAATGCGATAATTTGGACGGAAACGTGATCGCTGATTTGCACAGGCGATTTTAAGTTATTAAAAAAACAGAAAATAATATATACTTCAATAGAAGATTAACGCTTGCTCGAAAATAAAATAAATTTGCCGGAGAATACGCTAACGCTTGATGGCCTGTGTTCTTGATGGTTATTAGAGGGTTGTTAGATTAAAAATGACATCGAAAACCCAACGTCGAATTTGCTGAATTTTTTCTCAAGGGGTAAACTTACGCAAATCATAATATTGCGGTCTGTTGGGAAGATTGTTTATGCTTGCTCAAGTTGATTCAACAAATTCCAAAAATTTATTTTTCTCCGCGTTAATATTGTTTTTACGTTTTGAGGGGCTCCGTAAATCGCTCTCCAAGGCTTTTTTTGGGTGCGCTCTAGGCGCGCGCGCTCGATCGAGCGCCTTTCCGGGCAAGGCCTGATTATTGCTATTACAGTTTTCTAAATGTGCTTGATTTCAGGCGTGTAGACACAAGTTTTCAAAATGAACTTGTCAGGGCAAGAAACAAAGTTTCCAATCGGGCCCACACTGCCCACATTATCAAGTGCAGAATTCTATTGTTGCAGCCATGTGCTGCTGTAATGGTGGAAGACAACATGGCTGAATTTCATGCTTGTAAACTTTCAGTTTCTGTAAGCACAGCCAGCACCTCTAGACTAGAAACTTTGTAGCATGCCGGCAATCATTGATTAAAAAGCATACATTTAGGGTAGATCATTGGGAAAATTCACCTGGTACATGGCTTTTACTGGTCATGCTCATTGCCCTCCTACTCTGCAGTAGTTGGTGCCAACACTACCTGCAATATATTGTCTGTGCACACATCTGGGCTTGTTCGCTTATTCAGGCCTCTCAGTTTGAGGGGTATGATAACACGCATCTTCCTCAGCACACGCCTAGATGTGGCAAGGTTGGCATTTTGTCATGCACCTGCTTTTGATAAAGTAGCCATATTAGGTGCTTTGGCCATTTGCATTTTGTAACAATTACCTTTTTGTCAGAAACTTTATCTTGTCACCCCAGGAACCATCTTCAAATTATAGCTTCACAACTTAGCAAATCACTTGACACAAAATGCAATATTTACCAATGGAAAACTCTCTGTGCTTGTTGACTGTGATGAGAAAACCACTCGAAATCTGCATCTACACTGTTACCATTATAAGAAGTAATTTTTAGAATAAATACATGTTCATAGTCTACTACACTTGTTCAGTAACAAATTTGTGTTGGGATCAAAATGGTTGCAGTCTTTTTGAATAACACAAAGGCAATACAATACTTTCCACTGGAAAGCTATAGCATCAATAGCATGGAAATTACTGCTTAACTGCATGATCAGCCATGCACTGATTTATTATTTACAGAGAGGCCTGTGTATTGGTCAACAGTTCCCATAGGCTATACCTTTGTAGTACAAATTTTGAAATATGTGTGATTTTGGCAGTGCACACAGGTGTTTTCATTGGCCTATCAGCACACAGGATTTTGACCATTTCTCACTCAATTTTGGATAAAATACACTGAAATGATCAAAGTTGGCCTAATTATAGCTGTGAAGTGCTGTTACAATCAAGTATGTGGTTTGACCATACCATTGGGAGGAGCAGATGTGGCAAGACCTCTCCACTGCTATGCTGATATGAGAAGCTTTTACTTTATGTCCTTGTAAAAATCTGTTTCCACTTTGTCTATGAACAGGTTTTGTTCCAAGCATGGCTCAGAAAAAACACCAAAGGAAGTAACTTTACCCATGGATCTGGATGTTATTGCCAAATGCCTTGTGCCTCGACTGTTTCTTAAGATAAATGAAGATTTTCAGACTAGATCAAATGAAGGTATGTTTACTAACATATTAAGTCTAATTGCACCCTATATGAACTCTTTCTAATTTTCTTTTTTGTCTGACTTGCAGAGTTGTTACTTTAAACAATGTTTTGCTCACTAATAATATATAAATTTGCAAATTTAAGCACTTTGAGCAATTTCGAAGATGTCTGCTGTAGCCCTCCTGGTCAAGCAACATTTATTGCATTTCAGGCTCCATTGGGGCAGTTCTATCTTGATAAAGCAATTATACTTTGGCAAAGTCCACCCTAAAATTTTTGCATCTTCCACACGCATGAACAGGAATTACAAATTACCAACTATGTCAACATATTATCAACTTAAGGCTCATTTCAAGTGTTAGCCATGGCTTAACCAGCACCACGTGCAACCTTTCTGTCTCTCTTTTATATATTACAGCAGTGGTTACAGCTGCTGAAAATTTTTCATAATCTCAATCTGTCAAGAAATGAAATCTTTCCATAATTTGAAACTTCTAGATGGCTGCTCAAACTAAATTTATCTTACTCTTTGATAATGTATTTTAAGCTTAAGCATGTTTTTTATAAGACCTCATTGAGATTGCGTCCATATGAATCAATTGGTTCTAGATCTTTGAGGACCCCTGTAATCACAGTGCCAATATATACCAGTTTGGATGCAAACAAAGTTGAAATTTTAATCATGTAACAAGATTAGTAAAATTTAAAAGTGAATGAATAGAAATTTAAATATTTGAATAAGAAAGTCAATCATTAGAAATATACACTACAGTAAAGTATTCTGTCACATAGGAATCATATTTAAGGTAATCATGGCCATTACTATTCAAAAAATATGGTTTTTAAAAGTAGGCTGATTGTCAAATCATATTTCTTACATTTACATATTTCTTTGACAAACACTAGCTTTATTGCTTGGCTGTTATTTGCCAAAATATCGAAAGGACACCACATCAAAAAGTTTGACAAAAAGTTAAGAAAAAGAATAATTACAATTTATTTTCTTTAGCTAAGTTTCACTAGGGATTTCTATGAGCTATTGTGGTAGATGAATTTGGAATAATTTTAAAGGTTACTTTCTAATGCTATTTTCTTTATGAAGCAGCTTGTTTCAACCTTGAGCAAATTGCCAGTCTGTCACATGTTATGAAATTGCTCACAACATGAAATAGCTGTATACCTGGTGAAAACAAGCATTGTTTTCTATATAAAGTAGGTTTGCGCAAATAGTTGCATGACATAAAGGAAAAGCAGGATCACAAAACTTTATGAGCAAAAACCATTCTAAAATTGCAAAGATTCATCAGTACCTGTAGTTATTTTATTGAGAAGATTTTCCACAATTGCCACAGTACAAAGTTAGAATTTAATGAAAATTGAGCTATCACTACCTATTACTTGTCAATTTGTCCTTATCTAATTGCCCATGATTTAGCAATGGCCAAATGATATTTCTGGCCTTTCTTCTTCAGGTTTGGGATCATCATCCTATCTGCCACCATCCCTGGAGAAATTAATCAAATTGCTGCAAATGATATGTGAGGCTGACGCTTTCAGAAATCTTACAGCAAAAGTTATATTACAGACTATCCCTAAATCTATGACTCCAAAGAAATCTAAGCAAAATTCTGGGCAAACAGTAGCCAGTCGCCTGAAACCAACTAATTCAACAGCAAGTGGACATACACTCGTTCATTCTGTTCCAAGCTCACCACCAGCATTTGACTTTATGTCGAGAGAAGATAATTTTGCTATCTTAGATCACAGTGATATAAACCCTCTGAGAGACGTTAATTTAGAAAGTGGTACTTGTTCATATTTGGAGATCTTAATGCAAACATTAGTGAAATATGAGTTTCCAAGCAGCCTCGCAACTTTCATGTTGTTGCTTCTTCCAGAACATGCATATAAGGTACGATTTTCATTGTTTTAACAAGTAAGCCAAATATTTCTATAGCAAAAATTAATATCTGATTTTAAGTATTTCTAAATTTAACGTACAAATCAGTGGACTTACCTGTTTTGAAAGAAGCACGCTTGAAAATACCGGAACGTTCTATTATGCGATACGCTATCTTACAGTCCTTGAAGTGTTTGGAATTTTATCATTGTTCAGTTGATAATCATTCTCTGTAGGTGCAAGATACTCTAGATACTCTCAATACTAATTAGCACTTGTCGAAAAAACAATAATTCTTAGCTACAGTGGCTTGAAGGTAGTTTCCCTCGTCTGTTACCTTTTACATCACCATAAGTTAGTATATCTCTTACCTTAAACAACGTTGTCTTCAACCGCGACACTGTGAAAGTTTTAGCCCATTGCCAGATAATTCCTAGTGCCACAAAATTGTAATTTGACATATAGCCTAGGTATTTGTTTATTTTAATTCGTTTATTTTTTACACATAGCAAAAAAAATTTTTATTTTTGAATTTTCAGCTTGTAGGTAGATGCATCAATATCTGAAAACAGAAATATGATTCTGGATGCATTTTCTGTTCTTGTTTGATTTTCTCGAGCGTAACCTCTATGTTAAGTGTAACATTTTTTCTCTAGGAATCATTTACAAGATCATTTTGCCGCAATTATGTTGCAATCGGGCAGTCACTGCCTCATTCAAGGCGCCCCGATCTGCTCTCTAATCATCTAGTGCATGTCAGCGTCCAGCTTTTCAGCAGTGAGGCATTGGCAACTACAATGGTCCGCGAAGAGAAACTGCTATACACTCTTGTGGGCGTGCTCGTTGATATGATCGGTGGATGCCTTCAGTCATACGAATACAACTTCGAAGGTGTGTTACTGAGCTCTCTTGGGCTGCAGTTTTCTTTGACACCTGGTACCTATATCACTCTTTTTATACTTCATTTATACCTCAAGCATTTCCTTAAATTATAGCCACACTTCATGACTTCATCTCTCTAAATTAGGTTAGCTGCTTAGTTCACTGTCATAAATATCTGACAGGGATCAATCCTGGACATCTCCGGGCACACATACTGGTGGGGCAGCTTTCGGGCCAAGACCAACTTGCTGCCTTACCAGTTAGAATTGAAACAAGTCATGCACCCCAGCATCCATTGGTTTTCTATAAATGTTATTATTGGGTAGGCCCTTTTGGAGGTTTTGCCCGACAAGCCAAAAAGCTCTGAAGTGATTTTCTGGATCAATCGGTACATTTTGATGCTTTGAAAATTGTTTAAATTTAAAGAAAAGAATGCTTTGGACATTCATAGTGTAGTTTATCTAGATCTTGACAGCCACGGTAGCTTGTGCCGTTGTATAACGTTTGATTTTATTCATGTCCATTACTGTATGCCTATTGACTTTGTCCATAAAAAGAAACAAGTTCATTGCAATAATTTCTAGTATAATTAGCAAAGCTCGCGGTAAGTATATGGTAAAGACATATTGAGTGATGGTACTTAATATGCACCAAAATTGATATGGCAAAGGCATTTCAGCCATACGTCTTGCCTTGATAACGTTTTTATGTTAAAGTTTCACATTGATGTTATTGCAGGCAAAGTCACAAGCGTTTTAGTCGCTGACTGTGATCACCGTATCCTGATAAACCACTGCTACTGGCCTATTGCCAGTGATCTCCTGAATATTCTCTCGCACAAGCAAGTTGTTAAAGAGTTCTTGAAAAACGATACCATCATACACCAGTGGATGTATCTTGTGACGTTGCTCACTGGTAGGTTCCGCTCTGTTGGCGCTTTATTCTTCATCAATACCAATGAATCCTGTTCAGTCGTAGCCCGGTTCGGATAACTCGGATTTTGCTAAGTCGGGGCGATTTTCAATTCCCTACCCTTTTCACAGCAAAAATCAGACTGGATAGGACTAACTCAGACCAGTTCCGTACCCCCTTGAATGTCCGACTTAACGAGATATAACTCTATAGTTGAAGATTAAAAAGATGTTCAAAGCTTGTTTCAAATATATATTTGATTTGTTGAATTGATAGATGTTACTAATGACCTTCAAACTACCAATCTTATATCATATACAGTGCCAATTTTATACTTTTGTGCAAAAAGGTATTAGATATCTGATTCTCCTAGTACCACATTCTGAGATTAATAGATATCAATTCTTTTTTGAAATCCTTGTATGACTCCTAGCATGAATTTTCTGTTCAAGGTATGAACGTCAACAACCGAAGAATAGCGAGTCACATCCAGTTTGAGCCCAGAACGTACATTACGTCATTTTCAGTAGAATTTGAGTCGGTTGCTGCTGTTGTTTGGGAACTACTCCGTGGATGCGAGAAATTGGTAAAGTGAAATGTTTTTAAGCCCCTTAATTTCGCAAAGGAGATCTTCCCTAAATCTTTGTATATTCAACAAAATGACTTATGGATATACACAGTTTTAGATTTTCCCCTCTTGAATTAAAAACGATTGAACAATTCTGCCAAAGAACTGCCAAACGTCATCTAGACACTCACCCCATGCAAACAATTTCACAAATTCACCCATATCTTTGTGCATTTGTATGACTCTATTTCTCTGTAATCTGGCATGTTTTATTGTTTATTAAACTGTTCTCAAGCTATTTTTCTGTTTAGACTAGAAATATTTTGGGATTTAAAATAATATTTAAGACAGTCAAATGCTAAGGTTCCTATTAAAGCAAAGTTTACCTATTTTTTAGTACAGTAAACACCTGCGTGTAAGAACCTAGGGATTTAAGAACTTTCTGGCAGAAATTTGCTTTTTTAATACTCCATAAGATAAGAACCTGTTTAGCCAAAGAATTTCCAACAGGTTCTTATATGTGGGGTTTAACCATTTAGTTTATCTACTTTTTTGCCAAAAACCAAAAAAATGACAGAAAATTGATTTTTGGAAATAAAATTCAAAATGCACAATGTGTGTTAATTTTGAACCGTTATCATGAAACAATTATTTCTACTGTTTCATGTACAGTAATGCATCACGGATCAATTTTGGTGGACTTTCGGAATGAAGAACAGACCAGATATAATGCTATTTTCTGATAATCAAAAACAAAATCTTCCCTATAGAAATTAAGAACCTAAATAAGAACCTATTTAGGCTACACTGGCAATAGGTACCCCATAACACAAGAATCTGTTTTGCCAAACTCTGACAAAAGTAGGTTCTTCCTCGCGGGTTTTTACTGTACTCAAAATTTAATTGTACCCTGTACCCATTTTACTACTAATTTGATTTCTCTTGTAATAAAAAAGGCCAAGGTGTCACGCTAAGCCACATTGTCAATACTGTTCCACTCTTTTCGGAAAGTCATCACTTCAATCCCATTCTACAGAGGTATATGCAATAGCGTAACAATTTTGTGTCTGCCGTTAATTTCTTTAGAAAGAGGAAAATGATCGCTACGTTTTGAAATTAATCAAAGCCACAGAAAATGCATTGCGGGATTGGTATAACTTTGTGCCAGTCAGGGTAAGGCTAATTTTGTTTACTTCTTTCAGCAAAATAACCAAGATGTAAAAAATTTGATGACATAATACGAGATGATTATCAATGAAATAAAGCACAAATGTTTCGACTTAAAACTGTAATTTTATTCTGTTGCCAAAAATGTACGGTCGTATGCTTTCAAGTAACCAATAAAAATTGATCCAAGCCATTGTTGAATTTATCCTTAAATCACGGTTTTTCTGTTTGTCTCAATGCTTGTCGTCTTATATATTATACATAACGTTGGTAGTGACCTTCTGTTAACCTGTCACGGTTAACTAATTGTAAGCGTCTTCTTTTCAATGAGTTTCTACTGGGCCTAGATAAGTTTGCTCACCAATGTTCATAAGTCTGTTCTTCTTGCAGCCCAGCAAGTCAACTGCCACATTTCACTTGTCTCTTCATCGTTATTTGGCTCTGTTTATAAGTCAGGTTGGTGTTATGTGTATTTCTTTTATCGCATAAAAAATATATTTTGCTTTGTGATTTTTTTTAAGAATTTCTTAGTGCTCAAGAGCCTCTTAGCGCTATGATATTAAGAATTCTTTTGTAACATTTATTTTGCAAGTTGTAACAAAATTTGCTTAGGACGATGTAAAATTGTTTGTTGATTTGATGAACGGTGCAACACAGTTCGTTAGTTTCAAATTTTTCGTTTAATTGAGATAATGGTTATAACTACGAAATGTTTTTTTATGAAATGGTGAGCTGTAGAAACTCTGTGTCGATGGAATTACACGTCTTGCCTCTTACCTCTTAATGAACACTTTCTTGTCGTTGTGAAAATTCATAAAGTCATTGCACTCATGTTTTACTGGGTTTGATTGGAATGCAGCGTACAGGTAAAGTTGAGATGAAAAAAGGAGTGCTATTTGAAGATCTTATAATTTATGATTTTTAAATGGTACCCTCTGTTAGTATTCAGTCATGATTTTGTACGGCTGTTTGCTTTAACGGCATTTTTGCAAGAAAATGTTGTTAAGGAATTAACAGAATGAATAAAAAACCAAATTTTCCTTGATAAATGGCATGACATCTTTCAGAAATATGCTTTTGATTTTTAGGCTATCGTCCGATTTGGCCTAAATGAAAGCGATGCCTTGCCATCCTTGGATTTTTTGTTACAGTGTGTGGAATATCCTTTACGAACGCTGGTGGGCATTTCAGCTTTATTTTTTGCATTCATCTCTATAATTTGCTTATGTCACCTTTGCCTAATTATGCTAAACAGTTGCAACGCCACAGGGAAAGAAGTTCTAATTCCCCACGTGGGCCACTTTTTTTACTTACAGCAAGAAGCAACTAATACTTATGAATGTTTTTAGACACTGCTATCTAAAAACATTTCTGGCAGCACTTTTTGCCGTCATTGTATTTAAAATTATGCTGGGCTGGGAATAACGAGCTAAAATCGTAAAAATCTAACTCCTCCAAGGCAAAATGTTTCTCTTGGCTTGCCTCCAAGTAAACATGCAATCGTGTGGGATTTTAAAAAATCTGAATTTTATGTCTTCTTTTTTTTATCGTAAGGTGGCTGTAAGCGAGATTAAAGCCGGCTATTGGGTTTACAGTGGCTTTCAAATGCGTGGCCAGGCCCTGTCGTATGTTCAATGCCACTTTTGCAACTCAATGGTGGATGTCGATTTATTCTTCGTTCAGGTAAGCCTTTTTTACTGGGTAATTATGCCAGTTAAAACGCAGATAAAGGTAATTTATTTTTTGCTGACTGAGCTTAATGCTAGTGTGAAATATTTTTTATCCAATAAACAATTAAAACTCAGGTCCAGTATAAAGAGAGGCAACAAGATCCGAAATTTTCAAAATCCAGTAATGTCGAATTTTTCTGATCTATCTTTCATTCGACTTTTCTTGCCATTTTCTTGTATAACCAATGTACAATTTTTCATAACTGCAGCAAAACTGCCATTCATATCTACAGCAGCACTGATAGCACAACATTTTAGGTCAGAAACCAAACAAGAAGCATCAACGGTCAGAAGAGGTACAACAACAAACAAGAGGGATTTTTTTATAAAAATAGGAGAGAATCCTTTGCACGTAAAAAGGTCGTTTTTGTCTACCCCTAATGTGCTTCTTGATTAGCCTCAAAAAGCGCCTTAAGATATCTTATATACTGAGGAGATATCTTATCGCCCCATAACTTTAATGCTGTTTGTATTTCAGATTCTGGCATCTAAAGTGGATGCAAACTTTTTTCTAAAGTTGTTGATTGAAAGGTATTTAATTATTTGTTTGTAATGTGTAATCATTTTTTAAGATTCCTTTATTGTTTTTTCTCACCCCTTGTATTATTTGTATTTGCATATCTTGGAACACATTGCAGATTACACTGTGAATCCTCATTTTTATATCTAAGCTATATAATCTTCGCGTTTATTTTCTTTATTAACTTAAAAGCTATCAAAGATTTGATAATTATATTTATCGATGTAAGTTATAATTTGATTATTCATGGATATTTTATAATCCATAAAATTTAATTTTTAGAGTTCAGCTTATTTTATGAACCCAATATTTTGTAATAAGAAATAGTGTATAGTGTGTAAAAAACAACCCGTCATAGTGACGTCATTTCAGAGCGTTACCACAAAACCCATACCACCATTCGAATCGCCTTGATGTGATCTTTCATTTGGTGCCATATTTATGAATATGGGTGCCATCAAAGTTACAAGCCCAAAGCTACACAATAAATTTTGAGATGTGGACAAAACCTATAAACCCCTTTAGTATCATTGCAATTATAATTAGTGAAAATTTTCTTACCTTCACAAATTAGGATTAAACGTCTGCTTTCTGTAAAGATCTTGAACAAGAAAATCTAGACATTTTTAAAAATTGAGGTTAATTGAAGTTGCATGCTTTTCTGTTATAACTTATCAAATTCTGCAACAATGATGTAAATCGTAATCATATTGCTTTATTTCCATGTTCTGGAAAGATTTGTGGTTTTAAAAGATAAGACTTTTCAGTATGATATTATCTTTTTTTAATGAAAGTCATAATTTTCGTCGTTGAACTAAGGTTTATATCAAAGATGTACTTTCCAACCAATTTATCGATTATCGAACGTTTTTCATAAAACGAGTTGTTATGAAAACGCTTAACAACACACTGTCATACTGTAGGTTAGATGAAACTCAGGTTTAGTCCTGGTCCTCGTTTGAGAATTGGTATGGGTGATTTATGAATTCTGCATTCAAAATTCAGGTTCTCTCTTGGCGCTTGGTTCCAATTTGGGAAACCTGTTGCGGACAGTCCACAACGTCAAGACATTGATAAAGAGAATTCGATGGTGGAAAGTTTTCTCAGTTTTATTTTGATCCTGGTTTCGCAGAGAGTCCTTTCTGGTAAAATTTGCAAGCTGTTGTGTGTTCATTATAATTTTTTGTCCTGATGGAATGTTATAATTTTTTCCGTTTGTTTCTGTGTGAGGAAGTTGGCTGAAAAACAATGTATTCTTTCATAGCTATTAACTGAAGATAGGATAGATGTATTATCTATTTTGTGCCAAATCTGAATTTGCATGTTGCAAGCACAGGAAAGTTAACAGTTGCGTTACCCCGTGTCATTTAGATAAGGCATATTGGTTCATCTTTTTCTTAAAGATAGCTAGTCATTTCTTTCAATTTTACCTATTAGTAAAACCTCCCCACATTTCATCTTAGGGATGTCTGATACCTGCCAAGGCCACAAAGATTTGGCAGCTCTCCTTTGCGTTTCAAATAAAACACACAGTCAGCTCACAGAACTGGTGCGTATATAAACTGTTTAAATGTTTTTTGCTTGTAAATGGTTGTAATTAAGCTTACTTTGTATTTGCTGCTTTTAATGTTAAAGTATTGAAAAATTGACTCGGAAACTTCTTTATTAAAGCATTGAAGAATTTAAGAAATATTTTCTCTCGTATGCAGCTTATCATGATTATCTGTGTTTTGCCAACTAATGGCATTAAGAGAGGTCGTGTGGGATTAGCTGGACATATTTTAGATGAGGGATTGACTTGTAGTTAATGTCAAGGCCGCAGATAGGTTTCAGAGACCCTGGGGCAAAGCGGAAGATATGGTTCTCTGCGAAGGAAGCGGCCACGCCCTTTAGATAAGTTTAAAATACATTTCAGAATATTCCTTGCAGTCATTTTCTTGCAATCGTTAAAAACGTTTAACTATTTGTAGGCATAATTTTGATATGTTTCGTTAATTTAATTCTTGAAACGGAATACATTACTTTAAGAGGCCCCCTAGACTTCGAGGCCTTGGAGCAATTTGCCCTCCTTGCCTTCCCCTCTCGGCGGCACTGGTTAGAATCGTATGACTTTGCAAAAATTTCAGGTTTTGGTGATAGTAATTTTTCCCAGCTGTAAGAAAGTGTATCCGCTTTTTCAAATTGTAATACAATTTCTAATTGTTGTAAGCTATTGTTTTAAAGCATTTATGTAAACATTTAGATTCCTACTAAACCCGGAGAATCGAACGAAGCCACAAGAAATTTGGAAAATTCTTTGAAAAAAGTGAGTTATTTTTTCATTTGATTTTTAGAGAAAAATCTAAAAGTTTATTTCAAATGATCTGTTGCCACTTTTAATATCTAGCAATAGATGCTATATCAAAACTATTGTTTACCGGTCTGTCATAAAGTGCTCGATGCCGTATAGAAAGAGGTATATACGCACGTGTTGTGTAGAATAGGACGGCTCTAAGATGGTACTCCGAGTTTCACGTTTAATGGCATCCTCAGGCAACTGCTACATGTACGATTTTGTACAGTTGCACATCAATATCCCCAACAGTTTTGTACACCAGGCTCAGTTTAATTCCAATGCCGTCTATTTTAGATGGCAGATTTCAAAGCGCCAACCCTAGATGAAGACGTTATGCAGCAAGGGACGTACTCCCCAAAAGGTATGTTATATATGTTTACTCTTTAAATGACTTTAAAGGCTGGAACATCTTTTACAATATGGTTTACATTCAGAAGTTGATTCTTCGAACTTCTTTGATATACCTGAATTTGTACTTTTGAGGGTGGACGTCAACATTTTGTAGCATGCTAGTTTAAACTTGTGATCTAAACTGTTCTCATGTTTGCTTTCAGATTCTGTTTGGGATCAGGACTTTGACTATGTCCACGTCTTGCATAGATTCTTTATGCCATCAGAGTACCAGAAAGCGAGCCAACGTTATACCGAAAAGTGAGTTTTTCACAAAAATATGTCTGACTTCTTTATGGAAGTTTTAGACTCTTTTTAAATTATGGGGAGCCTCTTTTGTGATTTCTTCCTTAAGACACTTTACATAGAGCCCTCTGTAGCTAAGGTTAGCTGCAGTTTGAATTAAGAAAACTTATTGAAATACAATGCGAGAAAAGATGTAGATCAGACAAATATTTTGCGTTAACTTTTAGACACCAGGCAATTTGCAAATTTAAAGTATTATCTGTTTTTTTGTAAATTTTTCATTATTTGCATGCAGAGCCTAATGTAAGGAAAATCTGCAACATTACCTCTTCCGCATAAGTTTTATATCTTTTGCATATTCTTTAGAGAACTATTTGATGCCATGCCATTTTTACGTAGGTGAATGTATCCTTTGCTTATTAAGAAATAACTTATCTTCTTCTAAGATTAAGGATAAAATAGCAGATGATATAACACAATTAATTTGGCTACAAAATAGAGCACGCTCGAAGAACCACACCACTAAACTAGTTTCCAAGACCCCTTGTTGGATTTTGAAGAGAACTATTATTGGTCACAAGAACACTTTGTTATGCCTTGCCTGCATAAGTAATTACATCGTTAAGCTTCTCAAGTAAATCCACTTTGCTTTTGTTTTTGCAGTCTCGTAATTTCTTGTTGATTCATTGATTATCAACATTGACTTTGCAGCATGCGACAACGTGGGACGACAGTACATAGTCACTGCTGGCCTCCTTTCAAAGACCTGAGTGAAATACACCCTTGCTTCAAAGGCATTTTCCGGTAACGTAGTGATATTTCACTTAGTATTAACCCAGACTGATTTTGACCCGGATCATTTTGTAACGTTTTCACTGCTTTTGATCTTTGTTAACCTCTACGGCATGCCCCCAATATGACATGTTTGCGAGTTTTTTTACCTAAAATAGTGTTTACCAAAATACCTGCAAGAAGACGTTTCCATCGACCTTGCAAGAAAATATGATTCTGTGAAAGTTACGTTAATTTAATCTTACGTTAATTTCATACCAATGGAAAATTTAACTTTATATAATCTTTATCTCTAATTTAGTAAATTTTCATCAATTTTATTTGTATGCAATGATCTCCATTTTCATGTCCATTACTATATTATCCGTGGTACTCTGATCGTAAATTTTCTTATAAGAAAGTTTTCCCTGTTTTCTAGGTTCCTGAACATATCCTTAGCGTGTACAATTTTTCTTCTAGAATACTGCAATGTCAAACATTACAAAAAATTATCTTCTTCATAATCTACAAGGTTTGATTTCCCCATTTAGTTATTTCCTCCCCTTTTGAAGATCTATTACACCTTTTCGTTTCTAGTGTATGTAAATAAAAAAATTAGAGTGTATCAAAGCCTTTCAGACAAAGTCATCTTTCGTTAAAGCATTTTAGAAGCTGCCTTGATAGAAACCAACAACCCGATGCTTTACTCACGCCCGCTTTTAGATATTTTTGTATTTTTAACTACTAGTCTAGTCAAAACAGCCTTTGGTAAAGACAATTATTATCATTATTACCAAGCTTTCTGTCTTGAAGCAGTATTGCTTATTTATGTTGAACTTTATAAGGACTCTAGCAGTGATATTCTCACTTACGATGTAAGATTTTTATACCATCGATATACTGGAGACAGATAAGCAACATATAGGAAATAGAGATATGAAATTGAAAATCAGTCAGTATAGCAAAACAGCAGCCTTCTTACCAACTTGTGTTATTTTTAAAGGCGGTGAAGAACGTGAATTCAGTAACTGAGCTGATGCTAGTCAACACGATGCATCTTTTGCATCTTGCCTTACGCACTCCAAAAGTCACTGTGAGTATTATTTAATAAATTTTTATTTCCAGAATACATTATTCACTCCAAATTTCTAATACTATCCTTTTTTGACTTTCTATGCGTTTCTCAATTTCAGATAAATTGGAGTGTTTTGAAGCCATGCATGTTTTATTTAATTAGTTTGAATTTTGAATAAGTCTACGTAAAAATGTTAGATATTCCACTCCTATTTGTGATGATAAAGGGAGCTAATTGAAATCAACGAACGCGCATTAGCAAAATTGAAAGATATTGTGCTGGCTTATGAGTGAACTTGAGACATGTTATCAGGGTACTAGCATCTTGCATCAAGCAAGAAAGTACCGGAACACGTTTTTGTTCACAAGTCTCACCCTTCCTTATCGAAGTTTACCAATTACAGAGTGGGTGCTGCCAAAGCCAGTGTTTTGAATAGCATTTCATATATCAAGACGCTTTATGGTACCCCTGATATGAACTATGCAACCTTTAGATCTTGGGTATGATATGACACGATAAGATACGTAAGCAAAGAAACATAGATAATTCAAATCTAATAGAAATTAATTTTGTCGTGTTGTAATGCTGCGAATCACATTTTTGTAAGCAGTTGTGGCTATTTGATTGATTCCTTAGTCGAGTGTTCTTTAGATTTGTTTTTTCTTACAGGATGAAGGGGTTATTCCAAACACAGAGCATTTCAAAAGCAAAAAAGTTACCCTTTTAACAAAATGTGTGGACTATTTAGAAAAATTTGGTACGTCATCTCATTTTTGTCTTCAAATAAATTTCATATTATTTAAAGTTTTGGAGCCTTGACGGTTTTTTTAGTTTTCTGGCGTTCATTGGCTTTCTTCATATTTTATCGGAAGCGAATAAATGATATTGAATTAGTATAAATTGTGAAAAATTTAAGTTTGATTTTTGTCCGATTAGTTGTAAAATCATTAAGATTTAAATAAACTAAATGTAAAGATTTTTATAATTAAGGTGGAGACTGCTTCGCAAGAGGAAACGGGCAATTTAAGTTAAGTAGTAATTAAAAGTTACATCTATAACAACTCAAATATAGAACGGAATAGAAAACCCAAACTAAGACAGTATTTTGCTCAACAGAAAATCTTTGACTAACTTTTTTCTGCATAATCTGTATCCTGTTATGTCTTTAGCTGCAATAAAACTTGCACCAACACCTGTAATACCCCTTGCACATAATATATGTCCAGCTTTTTAATGGCTGAAATTCCAAGCAATGAATATGAATTATCCAAATGTTTTGCTGTCAAAATTGGAAATAAGTTTGACGTTTTTTTCCTTTTTCTCCACAAACAGTTGATCAGCCAGGAGGATTGTATGGAACTGGGGAGCGTGAGTTTCGTGAACTCAATACAGTATTATACAACAAGCTTACAGAAGGTACAAATTTCATCTTCCTTAATCATGACTTTCTTTGATCGATGTACCATGTTCTCTTTTCCATTCATGGCCTCCTTGATGAATTGTTTTAAACTTATTCAGGCTCTTTCAGAAAGCAAGTTTCATTTCTCGTTTGAAACATATGTGCCCCACTGAAACATTCAGCTTGTAGACACTAACAAAGGATTACAAATTTGAAAGATTTCCTACAAATTTTTACAACTAATGCCTATTGTCATATTTTTCGTGCATTGTATTATTCCTAAATGACATTTGCTTATAGTTTACTAGATAGCTCCCTTAAACCGTGGATTTAATTAAATTCAATTTCATATTTTTAAGGAGAGTAGCCATGAAGCAATGCTTATTTTCATTCTATTAAAATTTGGCTGATCACTTTTTGTCTTGACTGGGTCATTTTCTAGAAATCCCTAGCAAGAAGAGAATTTCAAATTTTGAAAGAAATAAAGCATGCTGTTAAAAGCAGAGTGACGTCAAAATATGGCTTGATAAGTTAAATCTTATGATTGAATAAGCTTGAAGTCTACTCCTTGCTTCCTAGATGAAGGCTACAGGCTAGATCAAGAGTCATGTGAACCGAGAGATGTTGCTACCATCTTGCAGCATGTGCTGTTTTCAAAAAATAAACTCTCTTTTTTTGAGCCGATGCTAGCGTACATGGACAACGTCGTTGCTGATGGCAACAGTGAGTACTTTTGTTATTCTTTTGCCGCATTTTCACTGCAAACCTATTCATTTAGAAACTATGGAGAAAAATCCTTATAGCTCCGAGGCTTCAGTTTTGTTTTTTTTCGCTTCGAAGTGATGTGAAGTAGGATATTTTAGGCCAACGGTCGTGATCAGCTGATGGTGTTGATTTTTAGCCTAAAGCTGATACGACAAGGGAATTAGAAGCTAGTTGGAATGCCCTTGATTTTTTCAATTTTTCTTAAACCAAGAAATTCTTGAGAAAATAACAGAGTGGACAAAACACTATGCGAAGCGAGTGAACAGGCGGAAGCTGTTGTTAGCGATAGGCCTCGCTGCACGATGACGGTCGAAGAACTCAAGGCTTACTTTGAAATGTATGGGAAATGGCTTTTTCATTCAAATGTGCGAAAGATCTTTTCTAGAATGCGTTTTAAAGAAACCTAAGGGAACGTCCATTTTCTTGATCCAAGCCTAAGAAGACCACGGAAAGCGAGCATGTCCTGGATCGCCTTTGAGCCAAATTAAAGGAATTGTATACGCTTAGCAAAGGCATCTCTGTCGACAGAGCATGATGCTCTTTAAAGGGCACCTCTCATAGTTTAAGGGGAGCCCTAGAATGTGGGAATGTGGGTTTTAAGGACATTTGCATATGGGAATTGTAAAATTTTTCAAGCTTTTGATCTTAAATTTGCTATCTTGAAAAACTTTTTAAGATATCTGTTACTATAGGTTTAATGCCATTGTTTGCGTTTGTTTTGATGTAGTACTATTCTGTTTAGATAACAGTTATGAAAATCTATCCGTATTTCTCTTTATCTTAAGGCCAAGAAAGTTTTGAAGCCCGCCGACAACATCATCTGCAGTACTTGTTGTCAATAATCCCTGAAGACCGATACCAACTTCTGAAGAAACTTTTTTCACACTGGCGAAAGTAACTAGAATCATATCTACAATTAAAATGAATTTGTATTCCTGCATTAACTGCACACACTGTAGGATCTGTTGTAATTTTGAGAACTGTCTTTCACAACTAGCTACATGAATGTCTTCTAGGTTTATTCTAGAATTATTAATAGCGTCTTTAAATACCTTTAAATACCATCTTTCCAGGTATATTTATTGGAAATCTTTCAAGTATTCCCACTTTAGGCGTTCGTGACACAACAACAATGTCATAGAAACTAAAGTTACCTAAAATTCCCCGTTGAAATATTAAGTCATTTACTTCCGTTTTCAGATGCACCAGCAAAGATAACGTCAAAATTACGTCGTACTCATTCTGTATGCAGAGAAAAGAGGTAAATTGAACGACATTATGAAGCAAGTAGTATTACAACAGTTGCGAAGACTCAGAAGTGCTTTGCCTGATATTTAATGTAACGATGTGATTACCCTACCATCTACCTTCCTTGATGTTGCTCACCATTTATCTCCCTTTTGCTTGCCCAGTGAATCTTTCGATTGTGTTGCTGTCTACAAACCATCTTTTTGCAAAAGTTATTATTTTGTTTTGGCTTAACCTTCATAAAGATTGTTCAGTGGGTAATCTAATCTTTTGTCTGATGTTATTCCTGAAAAAAACGAAACTGCCCCTTCTACTCAGATTCGATTGAAATATTTGGAAACATCTTTAACGATATCGTTTCTTGTAAGTAGATCATTTATTTCAGAGAATTGGGTTTTCAATGCTGTTGTCACATTGCATCGATCATTATGATTGGCTGTTTAGGGTGGGTATGGTTCTTTTTTGTGACAATTTCACTGAGAATGTAGGGATTAAACAAAATACAGCCACTTAATTCCATGCAAATAGAATATACCGACATCTTTTTCAAGTTTTTTTAGTTCCTTCTGTATGGGTGCTGATTCTTAAAAAATGCTGTTCAACATGTAGGTGATGACTATTTGATGACGTAATCTTAGTCCTAACTGATGTTTTTCGAAAAAAGCTGTCTTGCAGTGACAAACGATAGTGACATTGAATATACGAGTGGCAAATGAAGCATTGACGCAGATCAAGCCTATTTTTCTTTTTCATAAGCATAGACTAAAAACATTTGATCCTCTATTTGTAACCTTTGTCTTCTTGACAGTGTGGATAATGACAATGATAATGTTTATGGAAGGCTGTCCTTTTTACTTCAAGTACAATGGTTCCATTTGGATGCCAGCACTTATTCGCTGTCTTTTCTAGATCTGTAATGTTAGACCAAATCAACCTAAAACAGTACTCGATATTGGCTTTAAGAACCAGTCCATAATTGAAAATGCAAGTGTTCCTGTGTGTAGCCTTGACGATGGACTTCCTCGAACTGGTAAGTGCTGATATGAAATCAATTTCCTTTTAATTTGATGGATTTCTTGATTGCCGAAGTCCGTAGTCCGTTGGTTATTCAAAGTTTTCTTTTTTCTAGGCGAACAAATCGCGGAAACTGAGGACTTGGGAAAGAAAGAAAGCCTGCTCAGCTTGTTAGTGGCACTTTTGGCAAAATTAAAGGAAGCGTCCAAGTTCGTTCAAACTAAACGATCGAGGTAAGTTTTTCAACATTTTTGGAATAGATGCAAAACTACGTTAGTTGTTGCAAAGTAGGTAGTGGCTTTCCTTTCTTTCTGCACAACTTCTTATTGCAAAAGTTCAAAAGATTTTATTAATGCTATTTTCTGTCTAGTCGATGTCAGACTATGTTTTGATGTATTAACATTGCCTAAATTCGCTTGTCAGAAAGTTTTCTTAGCTTTTTTGTTCCACCAAAGTGACAAGGCAATGGATGACCAAGATATCCGTGCAGGAGATGGAACGTATCGTGTGACAGAGTTACTCCAGGAGCTGCACGAATCAAGTGCAAAAAACCAAGCCATTATTGATCGCTTGGCTCCTAAGATTGGTAGAAGTGATGGGCAGAACAAGCGATCTGGTGTTGCTGATGATTCCTTATCAGAAAGGTTAGACAGGAGGAAGAAAGCCATGGCGAGGCAAAAGAAGATACTCGAAGAGTTTATGACGAAGCAAGAAATGTTCAAAGAGCAGCATATGTCCATTGGTAAGTTTGTATTCAGTAATCAAGGACAAAGCAGTTTCTTATGATTATCTTAAATCTATTTCAATTATCTTTGCGAATAAATTGCAAGGGTTCTATCTGAGAATACAGCCATTTGCGTACAAAACGTTATTTTTTGTCATCATTACCGATTCTCAGACCGACTTCTGACAGCTCGAAGTTTAGATCATTCAAACAAATTTTGATTATTTATTTGCATCAATTTAACTGTATTCATTACATTTCCTCACAAATGTTTCACTTTCTGAACAGTATCTGCCAATATAGCAGTGTTTTTGATATCGTCTATTCCACAAGTCAATTAAATTTGAAAGGGTAGGCAGATAAATCAATATTGAATACAGTAATAGATTGTGCTTGATAAGCTACCAATACATAACGCTTCTAGAAACAAAACATTTTCATTGTTATTTTTGTTGGTTTGAATTTAGAGTTAGTTTTGTTGATTTCAGAATAATGTCATCATATCACCTGAAATTTGTTTAAGTTTAGAGTTAAAGTTCGAATAATCATGGTACCTAGAATAACCACAGGACACTTTAAAGGCAAGGACAAAGGCAAGAATGTCAAAAGCTTTTGGGTTTCTCAATAGGAGGCAGGCTCAATAGGGAACAGGGTTGTATCAATTTTACTCCATTTTCTAACAATTATTCAATCTTAAGTATTCTGTCGTTTTGAAATCTGAACAAAAGTTTCAATTCTTTTGTCGTATTATTTTCAGACATGGATGTCGATGATGGATCTAAAAGCGAAATTGTTGTGTCTGAAAGACAGTTTGACTGCGTAATCTGTGGGCAAACATCTCACTCGACGGTGGACCGCCCTTTTGGTGTTTCAGTACTCATGCAACCATCGACGGGTAATGTGCTTCTGTCGAGTCTTCTTCTGTTCATTTAACAAGCTGAAAGTTCCACTTTCTTTGTCAAATCAGACGTGAATAATTTGTCGCTGTATAATTGTAACATGTTGTAGAATTTCACCTTATATCTCAACCAGATTCGTACGTTTTTAAATCTGAACTAAACTTTTAAATTATCTGGCGTATTATTTTAAGACATGGTTGTCGAGGATGGATCTAAAGTTCGTACGTTTTACTGCGTGTTTGTAAGTTCTACTGCGATCTGCCTCTTTATTGTTCCAATTATCTTGCTGAACAAAGTGTCTAATCTGCCGCGATGACGTTCCTATCAAGTTTTTTTTCTTTCAAAACCTGGGTGTTTTTTTCTACAAAAAATTTGCCTAATTATCGCATTAGGACAGGAACTGAAAGCTGTAACTTAGATTTGTTCTGCCCTGCACGCCAAAGCCCATTTTTCCTATAAACTTTCTCTTACATAAGCACCAATTTTCATCTACAAAGCAACTTTCATCTACATTACAATACGACGCCACAGGGAGCATTTAAATACATTGCTACCCTGCAACCACTTAACATGTAACATAACAACGAAGTGTCATACACCTTAAAATAAATGTTAAATAGGATGGGAGATTTTGATATCTTTTACCTATTAGTCAGGGGAAATGTACCAAAAGATAACAAAAACAAGGGCCCATGGTCTCAGACAGTTTGGCCTCACAGCTCTATCTGCTGATCCCCGAGTAAATTGGGGAGGTATTTTCATAGTGTAGTTAAGGAAATACCTTTTTGGATACGGCAAGGCTTTAACAATCCACCAAAATGTTATGGTTGTGCTAGAATTCAGAAAAATATGATTTTTAAACATATGCTTTGCGGATGTTAGATTATCAAATGGGACAGTCCATTTAATCGTATCGTGACTTTTTTAGTTTTAGGGCAGAGGCGGAACGAAAGTATTGATTTGCTACCACTTGAAGATAAAAAGTATTCACTCACATGTGGAAGAGTATGCGAGCAACGGAAGGAAGCACTTTTGAAATCGTTCGATAAGGTAATTGAGTTATGTTTAAGCAAGCTTTATTAACCTTAAAAAAGTAAGTTTAAAGCTTTATATGGAAGTTGTTTGGCCAACTATGTCAGCAAAGTACATAACGAAACTTTCAAGAAAGTTGGTTGGACTAATTTCATGGTAACGTTTATGGAAAATTGAAAAATGGAAAGTAGGGACTGTCTTTACTTTCACTGTAGTTCTCGAAAGGGAGAAGCAAGAATGAGTTTGAATGCAACTGGCTAATGAAGCGTCAATCAATGTTTATGTTTGTGTTAATTTGATGGTTTCTTTGCTAAGGTTGCTGCAGGGAGAGCGTTTGAAGCGGGACTAGACTGTGGTGTTCACGTACAAACATGTGGCCACTATCTACACATTGACTGTCACCAGTCTTATTTCAAATCGCTGCAGGTTGGTTCCAATCTTTCAATTAACTTCTGCTATTTATTAATTCGAAATCAATACATAATGGACCAACTGACTGGATAAATCTCCATGAAGTTTACATGAATGAAAATGCTAAGTTTTTGAGGGCTATCCCCAATAACCCTTTGCTGCAGTTTCAATGCACTTGCTAAAGTTTTTGCTTCTTTCTCAAAGAGGGGTTACCCTGAAACCTAGTGTCTTTTTGCCATCATATGGGAGAGGATACCTAACTTAAGGTTTAAACCCCGATAAAAAACCGGCTGCATTTGTTAAAATTTTCTTTTTTGCATCCTGTTTTTTCTATTGCTTTAGAACACTGATTACCAAATATTTTTTTCTGGCAGCTGGAAATCTTGAAGAAATTAATTCCATAATTGTATAGAACACAACAAAAATTAGGCTCTTTAATAAGAGATTTACCTTAAGACAGAATTATCTAGCAATAACAGGAGATCTTCAATAGCAAAAACTGTTTTCGTAAACCAGTATTTACTTTTCTGAATAATAATAATGCAGAGATATGAGTGGTTTTCTTTATAGAAACATGATTAGGCATTGCGTAGTTATCAATGACATTTTATTTGATATCCTTTGATTTAATTACTTATTTATTGCTTTTTTATGATAATCCACAAAACAACTGTTAAAACACAGATCTTCTGGTGAATGAAATATGTTTTATTTAAGATTTACTGAGAAATGAATGTCAAGCTTTGTTGTTTACTTTTGCTAAGTATTCCATAGCAGGCAAAATTTATACCTTTCAGTCAGCTTGTAAATAAGTTGAGTTTTTGTATTCATGTGAAGGGGGGATTGAAAACATTTTTCTATAAATGCATGAAAGACCAGATTTTCGATCAACAAATTTTTCGATAATGATGACTTGATTAAAATTTTCCTTGTCAAGCTTTCTGTCACCTTGTTTTATATTCCATTTTTTTGTCCCGAAAAACAAACTAAAACCATTGCTATTATTTAGGCCGTTAACGCATTTGTCTGATACATGTCAATTAAAAGTAAACAATTTTTAGTGATGTTTAAATAAGATTCGTGAATTTAACTGAGGTAAGATGTGAGCGACTTGATCGACCAGGGCAGGACTCGCAAGAATTGTTGTTCTGCAAGTTGATTCCCGTTACGTATTGTATTGTAGTCGCAGAACATTTTTTAATGAGAAGAACAAAGTTTAATTCGTTTGTATTGGGTAACCACTTTTTTCAGATAAGTAATATCTCTCTATTTTTCTAAACCTAGTTTTGTTACTGCTCAGAAAATTCCTTCCGTTTCTTCTGTTTTACCGCTTCAGGTTACTGTTCGCTAATATTTTTTGCTCTTCTTCAGGAGGAACATATTCGAAATTTTTCCTACGAGCAGCTTCCTTTTGATATTCAAAAGGGTTATTTCACATGCCCGCTTTGCCGCCAGCCTTGTAATGGCGTCTTACCTGTTCTTTCTGACGTCATTCGAAAGCGGGAAGCTAAAAGGGTGAGTAATAGTAATCTTTTCATGCCAGTACATTAAGGATTTAAGCTACAGACTACATAAACAAAGCTTGTTTTGTATATAGAACAGGGTTCTTCTAAGTTCTAACTCCGAATTTTATGCACTCCCTCTGTTTGCGTTGTTATATCAAGTTTTTTGTCCATGGAGTTATCAGAATCTTGCCGATGATGTTAAAAAGTTTCTTTCACTCTTTAACCTCAAAATTTCCTGATTTTTAATATTGATAAAATTTCTGGCTTTCAGAATCTCACAAGCAGTGACAAATGTTTGGCTGAAATCTCATCATTATTACAACGATACTCTGAAGCGGTATGTCTTTATTCAAGTAATATACCACAAAAAAGCAGAATATTTCCGAATTTGGTATCTAGTAAAAAAACGGACTTTTGCATGAAATGTTGTGTACCTTAAAATTTCTATGATGAATTTTAGATTTCTTGTTTAAAAATTTTCACAGCCAAATCTTGGCATTGTACGTTATGAATTACCTGTAACTCTTTTTGACTAACAATTTCAAGGCAATTTTTCTTCACCATCCACTCTGTAGGGCAGCGCTTCTTCTGTGAGTACAGTCGTTTTCATCTATCTCCTTCGACTTTACTCTTCTATCGCTGCGGCTGACACGATAACTTTGCTCTGTCGTAGGCCTCCTCTACTTTTTTCCATCTGCCATCCTTTCCAAGCTCACACAATCAAGCCACTCTTTCTTCTTTTCAAATAATTACATTAATTATAACGTCTTATTTCCTGTACCATAATATCAAAGAATGCTCCTTTTTATTACAGGGTCATCTCACCTCCTTAACCGCTAAAGCATTGGAATTCACTGTCCTAACAGCTTCTGCAACAACCTTCGTCTCACGTTTGTCAAACACATTGAAATCCGAAGGTCACCCTTCAACAGCCTTGTATTCAGACCGAACTATAAAGGAGAAATTTCTAATACTTGTATCGACAGTGAGGTATGTCTCAACAACTTTCCTCTTTCCGTCCAGGTTTTACCAGTACTTGCATTTTATCCAAAAAAACCTAATCTCAAACATGGCTAATGAGTTCGTTTTCAACAAAGAAATTTTTGCATCAAATGAGCAGTCTATCTATTGCCTGAATATTTTGACAAAAATATGCTTGGAAGTGGCTATTGTTAAGTCAAAGACATAGATCAAATGTGAAATACAATGCTTTACGGAGAGTATGCCAGGGCGCATCAGTGCATAAAACGTCAAATTATGAAAATAGGCTTGCATTTCACTAACATGCTAAAAGGTTCATTTTCCAAAAAAATTTTCAAAACTATTTATTTGTAACTATTTGTTTTGCCACAGTTAAAAGTCCAAGACAATTAATTTTCCTTGATATTTACCCTTAACATTTCCCCTTATCATTTCCCCGCAACATTCTCATGTAACAAGAATTTTGATCGTTTATCGAGAAAAAACTGTTTACATGTGAACCGTGTGATTTTCTCTTACATTTGGACATTAACTACTCAATATTTTGTTCTGCACAGTTTTGACTCGATTAAAAGCATAAGAAATCATTTTCATTTTAAAACCTTGTTCCAGATCTGCCTATTAAACCATGGAAATTATGATGTTCGCTACTAGATCATGTCAATCGAATAATTTTAATTCCTTTCTAAACGTGTATTGCATGCGCAATATGGTCTTTTTAACACTTAAGGCATACACTGGGCACTAGATTATACAATGAAATTTTATAGGAACGTTAAATATGAAATTTATAGCATATCAAAAGTTTCTATGTGTACTCTATCCACCCATAAAACTGTTATGTCGTTCATTGTTTAAAAAAGCTGATGCCCTAAGTCTGCGTTTCTCCTGCTGACCATTGTTGCCAATACAGCTTAAAACCTTGCTTTAAACAAACAGTGTTCTTGAAAAACGATTAGAACAACGCATCGTACTTTCCAGTTTGGTAACTGAGTTTGTTAATTCCAGCTGTGAGTGTGATGTTAAGTTAGCTTTACTGTGGAAACAAGCGGCTCAAAATAGATAAATTTTTGCCTTTGCGGTTGTTTTAGATTATCCTTGAAATCTTATTTCGCATCAAACTTTTCGTGTTTTTTATGAAATATGCCTGTGATGAATTTTTTTTCTTTTTTAAAGATTTGTGGAGATTATTTTTCAACTTGACTTTTGCACTTTACTGATTAATAGAACTAAGCCACTTTTGCAACCATTTTATTTAATTTCTCTCTTTGGTTGCCTATATTTGTCAAAGTTTGTCTTTTGCATGTTTTATTTGTTTTGTTAAGTATTTACTGTAGATTATTTCAAAGAGGATTCTTTGAGATTAATTAAAAGATAGCAAACAAAACCGTTTGGGAAATACCTCAAAATGTTTAAACCGTTTTCCTGTCTGTTGATTCATAGTTTGTTGCAAATAGCTGTAACATGATTGTCTGTACTCGCTAACAATGCCCATTGTATTTCATCAGTGCTAACAAATTAAACAATACTCAACTCTTTGACAATTAAGATACAATTGAGATGCCTTTTGTATAATTTGTGTGTTTGGGCTATATAAATTTTCGTGATAAACGTACAATATATTGGGCCGTTCACTCAGTGAAATGATCGTTGGTTTTGATGTTACAAACTGGGGTGCGATTCTGATCAAGTGCAAAATTTAGTATTACGCAGCACTCCTGTGGACATAATTACCTTCTGTCAGCCTTGGCCTGCTAAATAAATATACATGTTATAAATATATTGATTGGTTCATCATTAAAACTTTTTTAGATATGGGTAAGCTACTAGAGTAGGTAAATAGATTATGACCTCTTTAAATTTTGGACTGATTTTGCAAAAGATAGCTCAGGGATTTGTAGGAACTATGTATTTCCCTTTTTATCGAATCTACTCACCAAATCAAGAGCAAAATCATGGTCTTCCTTGTCTTTACCTCATTATTTAGATTCAGTTAACGACACAATTGGTATCGTTTTCTTCTATGTTTGATGCAGGACATGTCTCGAACTGGATGCAGCTGAATCTGATATTGGCATTAGACAGAGGGATGCTAAAAGATCATGTATAGGTATGCAGTCTCTTTCATTTTTTGTATTTTACACAAGTCTAGTGTGTGAAACTGCTAGACGATCTGTTGCTCTCTTGCGAAAATCACTTATGATCCAGTTAATGTCTTAGTTTATATATTATGATATTGTTACTTTGTGCTGGAGTGTTTTTTGTTAATGGGAAGGGCTAGAGTGTCAGAATATGGCCTTGTTATCATGCCGACACTTCAATTCATTCTATTTCCATTAAAGTGTCAAAACATATTTCTAAGCGTAGTGTTTTCGATCTATTTTCTGACGTTTTATACTCTGAAGAGTGTCAGACATAAAGCTCAAGTATTGCTCAAAATGACTGCTTTTTACAAAGCCATTTTTAAGGTCTCACATTTAGCAACCAAGTTTCTTTCAAACTTAATTTTTATAGATTTAAAATTCCTTCTAATTTGATATATAAATTGCTAATATAATCATTCTATTGACTTTTTTACTGAAGATTAGTTCCGAATAGTATACAAGATCAAAAATAATACAGCAAATTGTTATCGTGCATAAGTAGTGGATAGAATGCAAAAACATAGTGAGAATACGATAATGCGTTAACCATCAAGGTTTTATAACCTTTCTGACAAATCTATCCGTTGAAAAGCGCCTCAATGTCCGTAACATCCTGCTCTAAATTATGGTTTATGTCGTATTTCTAAGTTTAAGATAATTTTTCATTTTCCTAATAGTGGATTTCAATAATAAGTGATCTGTGTTTTGTTTGATGGAGAGAGAATCTTGTGGCGTTTTAATTGGCTTTTAATTATTGGGCGTCTACTACTTAGTGGCCGGCGGATAAGTCGTCATGGCACTTTCTGCAATCCAGTTTTGAACAAGGACCTTGGTTTACTTGCTTGCAGGAGGTTAACAACACCGAGCGATTTATGTAATTGCATTCAGAACTTTGACTGGTTTCAACATATTAGCAGATGAAACCCGTGACTGTCATTTTTTCCTGGGATAGACATTTGTGACATAAGATTTTTGGAAGATTAGAATTCCAGAGAAGAAGGAAATTCGGAGAAATGTAACTTAAATTTTGTCAACAGGTTTAAAAATAAAGTATTTTTATGGGGACGATTGGTCCGATGTTAAGTGGGAATAAGTCTCCATGAGAATGGACTAATTTTTTTCATTCACGCACTTGCCACGAGCGTAAAGGACGATATCAGCATCAGCTGTTCAGTCCGCACGTTCTGTGCGCGTTGAAAGTATACGCAGAAGCTAAGACTAAAGCAAACAGAGTTTTTCTTATGGTATTCGAGTGAGGTAAGGTATTCGAATGAATTACATGCTACAGTTTGGTCACACCACGCGCGCATGCCCAACTACTCTAGTATATGGTCAAGTCGTACTCCATCGCAATGCAGATAGTTTGAACACATAATGAAGATGACTAATTACCAGTCTGTCGTTAAGTGTCTGTGCAGTTTAGGCAGAACTGTACACGCTGTCTGCCTGATGATTGCATTAAGCGTGAAATTCGAAGGAGCAACTTAGAACCGTCCTGTTCTATAAACGAAGGCTAGGATGAACACACATATACGCAAGATTGATACGCCAGCTAGTTTACTGGTGCTATTTCAAACGATAAACTCGTACCATAATAAGATTTTGATTGTACTGAAGCGACGGTGAACATATCGCTTTTGATATGGAGACGTTAATTAAAGTCATCTCCATCGGAACGTGATTACGTTAAACTCTGACAACGATGTTGTTCGTCGCGGCCTCATCCAAAGAAGCCATTTTGGGTGGGTGTATTTAAGTGCATCCTGCTGGGTTGTTATAGTTTTTAAGGTAAAACCAATAAATGTGCAAGACACTGCTCATGTTTAGCTGTTTGACCCAAGAAAAGAATTGGATTCATACAAAAGATGCCTTACCTGCTTAGATCATTGCGATCCTTTGACGCATTCCAGCTTGTTTGTCGGCTGATTTGTAGGCTGTAGGGGCTGCTATGCGAGGAGAAAAATTAATGATGAATAATGATTATGTTATAAAATGTTGAGAATAATGATAGATATAATATAATATAATGATATTATATAATATTATAATATAGTATAATATAATAAAATATAATATAATATAATATAATATAATATAATATAATATATAATATAATATAATATAATATAATATAATATATATAATAAATATAATATAATATATAATATAATATAATATAATATAATATAATATAATATAATATAACATAACATAACATATATAATGTGATATAATGTGATAAAATATAACAAGACATGGTATAATAGACACTGTGTATTGTTCAGTGTAAAATTCATTTCTAGCTACTTCGCTTTATGCTGTAAGGTAGGGTTTTTGTAATTATGAATTTCAAAAGTAGAATGCCAGATATTCATTCTAATCTACAAGATATTCAAGTTTGAATAATCATTAATTTCGTCTCGTGCCTAAGTTTATGAATTTTCTATGACGCTGGTCGAGTTTTTCGAAGTTCTTCTCCTAATTTTGACTTCTTATCAAATATGTGCCTGGCACAACACTAACCGCAAGGGAAACTGGGATTAACATTTATGCAATACTGCAATGTTGGTCACTCTGCTCTGCGAAAAGCCGTTAAAGATGCCGCATTGGTTGGTTAACAAACTACAAAAACTGCTAAAAGGTTTTGCCCAACGCCTGCTTTCTTAATACTTGGGAATTATCTTAATCCTAGCTTGGTTTTCAAAGATTCTAATGTAACTAAGGCGAATTATTATCGATATTAAAACAGAGATTATCGTGAGAATCTTCACTTTAATAAAGCACCCCGCATTAGTTGCAAAACCATGAAAGCTTTGAAAATGTATCCCTATGGTCGTTTTCTGTAGAAGAAAATCACGATGTTTCTTTCTTATCTTACGTCACTTGTGGCTACATTCTCTGTTTTGATTCTTCATCTACCAATTAATCATTCAGTAAAAATATAATATACTTTTCAGCAAAAGAATCTTTGGAGTGTTTTATTAGTCTTATTTCTGTTTCTGTCCTTCTAAGTTAAAGGCTGAACTGCTTAGCTGCTTCATAATAAATTCATCCCTATGATAATCGACCTTTTGGAACTAAAAGAGGCTTAGATATTCTTTCCAGTCAAAAGACTTCCACTTGGGTCCTTAACCTTGCCTAACCATCCCTAACCTTATACTCCTTTTACCTTACCTTAACGAGGAGAGCTTTGCTAGATCCTTTTTTTTCATTCTCTCCTTTTGAATGAGCATAAAGTATACAGTTATAAAAACACTCTGAACTGCCGCTCTTCTTAATTTTTTATGTCACAGTATTCCTGCGTTTATACTCAGCTGCAAACTATTTATGAATTTATCGCTTAGTTCTTCTCATGATTCATTCTGCTGGTTCTTTAGAAAGCAACTTCAACTCTAAAGTCTGGATAATTGCTCATTGATTATTCAGATCATCACAATAAACATCCGTTTCATCTTGCGAAATGCTTTGCCGGTGTTAGTTCGTAATATTATTTGATATATAATACATTGAAAGATGTGATAGAGTTATTTTTGATTCTTTGTTTATTCGGTTCGGTTTTCCACACTGAGAGCCGACATTATGGACAATTAAAAGCCTTTTAGAAGGTCATAAATGTGAATTTTTAATAGAAATGAGAGCATGAAATACATTTCATTGCAATTAGTTATTACATTTATTCGATATGAATTAATAAGGAAGGCTAACATGATAGAAAAAAAACATGTTAACATTCAAGACAAAGCCTTTTGTCCCGGTACGTCAACTTTTGTAATTGAATAACGCTTATTGTCAAATGAAAATTTTTTAGAGAAAGCCGGTTCTCGAATTTTTGATAATGGTCGGAACTATAAAACGCTTTAGTTTAATGATTTATTATGTAATTGTTATTTAAGGATTCAAAAAGCATTTTGTGAACTTAAGGATATTCAACATATAGTGAAGGCGAGCGATCTATATGCAAAGGTTGCTTTCTTTACTTCCAAAGTATGTCTTATCATACACCTATCTCGGATTTTAGCACGCATACTGAAAAACGATTATCCTGTTGAAAATTCTGGTGCTGCTTGGGCAGGCTTGACAACCCTAAAAGCTAAACTAATAATTCAAATTTTTTACCATCTTGAAAGATTGAGTATATTCATTGACTTTGTTAGAAATCATCTTTCACACAGAGCTTGTTCTTGCCAAAAAATTTATTTTCTCATTTGATATTCTTCGTTGATAGTTGACTAAATACTTGGATGATGCCAAATGCTTAAGCGTATTATGCCTCCACATTACCTTTCTTTAGTTGCACCCGAAAAGCTATAATTGGGAATTTGATTGCCACTACGCATTTGCTCAATGTAAAAACCGCTATATGAATAAGATAAGGCAGAGTTAATTGAAAAACGTCATGTATTGGTAACATGGAAATAGAGACCTGTGTCAATTGTCATGTATAAACGTGATAGGCACCACTCATGATCCTGGTGGTGCAGCATATTCAATGTTTTTAGGTATGGATCTACCTTCTGCTATATAGATGTTATTATCTCTAGAACCTTCGATTTTGAGCAATTTGGAAGAGATTTCAAAGAAAACCACTCTCGTTTATGCACTTTTTTAGCAACTCATTGTCAAAAAGTCGTCCAAGGTTGTTGTGAAAATTTTTAGAATGAAGAGGTAATTCGCAATCTTATAATGACAGGTTTTTAATATCCAAAATACAACTTTTATTTTAAAGTCAAGTGTTACAGTGCTGGAATATGGAATATTTTAGATTTGCAAAAGTTGAACGTTAATATGGCAAAATTTGTCAGAACACTATCCAAAACAGCATTTTCAAACAAGAAATTGTCAAGAGGCAGCATTCATTGAGGCTGTTATCTGTATGCTTCATACATGGGAGAGAAAAACATGTTTAAGAGATGCACAGGTAGGATATTCAAAGAGATATCTAAAAACAACTAGTTGTTTTGACATC